TATGCAGAGCACATCATGAGAAAGGCAGGGCTAGATGAATCAAAAGTTGGAATTAAGATTGCCGGGAGAAATATCAACAACCTAAGATATGCAGATGATACCACTCTAATGGCAGAAAGTGAAGAGGAACTAAAGAGCCTCTTGATGCGGGTGAAGAAGGAGAGTGCAAAAGTTGGCTTGAAACTCAACATTAAGAAAAACAAGATCATGGCATCCGGCCCTCTCAATTGCTGGCAAATAGATGGGGAAGAAATGGAGGTAGTGACAGATTTTATCTTCCTGGGCTCCAAGATCACCACAGATGGGGACTGCATCCAAGAAATTAAAAGACGCTTGCTCCTGGGGAGGAAAGCTATGGCAAATCTAGACAGCATACTCAAAAGCAGAGACATCACCCTGCCAACAAAAGTACGTATAGTCAAGGCCATGGTTTTCCCAGTTGCAATGTATGGCTGTGAAAGTTGGACCATAAGAAAGGCTGAGCGCCAAAGAATTGAGGCCTTTCAACTATGGTGCTGGAGAAGACTCCTACGAGTCCCCTGGACTGCAAAGCGATCAAACTGGTCAGTCCTAGAGGAGATCAACCCTGACTTCTCTTTACAAGGCCAGATCCTGAAGTTGAAACTCAAGTACTTTGGCCACCTAATGAGAAGGAAGGACTCACTGGAGAAGAGCCTAATGCTGGGAAAGATTGAGGGCAATAGAAAAACGGGACGACAGAGAATGAGGTGGCTGGATGGAGTCACTGAAGCAGTAGACGTGAGCTTAAATGGACTCCAGAAGATGGTAGAGGACAGGAAGGCCTGGAGGAATGTTGTCCATGGGGTCGCAATGGGTCGGACACAACTTCACATCTAACAACAACAAGCTCTATACGTATGCTGTATATAGTATGTTTAAATGTGTGTTCTGCATGTGTACACTTAGAGAGCAAGCAACTAAATTTCATTTTTAATGTATGCCATTCTGCCCACAGTAAAAATGACAATAAAGGTTATCTATCTAAAATTCCCTTTCAGCTATTCAGTATTTCATCTTTGAATGTTACTGGGTTAAAAAAGAAGCTCAGATGTATTTTTTTCAGATCATTAAAGGGCTGATATAGGTTATGAGAAATCTTAGGAAGAAATATGAGATAGCCTGATTAAGGTCATTTCCTCTTTATATTCTGAAAGTTTCATTCCAAAATATATTGTTTTGATTGGTACAAATATTCAACAACTTTTTTTCTTATCCTATGTTTAATAATCTGTCAAAAATCCAGATTTCAAACTGGACAAGAAGTTCCGCTTTAGTTATTTTCCAAAGAATTCCCTACACCCATACCTCTCAGAAAACCAAAATACCCATGCTAAGAACCAGTAATTTATTTAAAATATCATAAATACTTGCAATATATTTAATTGTTTTGGATACAATCTCATGATAAGATGTATGAAAGAAATAGTACAAATATAAAGCAAGGCTTTAATGGGATTTCCTTGCTTTTTCCATGACTCTACATCTACAGACTGGATACCCCACTTATTGGACATGCAAGTTGCAAACTAAAGCAGTATATAATAATAAGAGCAAACAATAAATTAATAAACTAATAATTTATATCCCAAAATTATATACTTTTTAAAAATACAGATTATATTAAAAAGCAACCCTGGCATGACTTTCCACAGCTTGTGGCCAGTATACATATGATCAAAAAATACTATGATCTTATCAAGGTTACACTGATTTCCTAATAGATAGTTTATCTCTACCTAAACTTTTACTCCTCCAAATTAAGATCAGCCCTGATATTATACATCGAACATTGTTCTATTGAATTAGCAAGGAAAAAGTGAGATAGAATATATTTTGTACAAAAATTTCTAAATAACTCTGGATTGGGAATCTGAACAATTGTGTCTATGAACTACCTCCTGTATTGGAAGTATGAGTTTGAATAATATTATCACTCTAAATCATGGGTGCCCAACCTTTTGGCTTGCTTGGGCCGCAATGAGTGAAAGGGAATCCTCTTAGGCAGCATATAAAATATATAATATAGTTAATGTATATAAATCACATAATAATATTAAAAGTTTACGATCTTGTGAGGCTGTATTACTAGCTGACCAAGGCTGCAGATTGGACACATCTGCTCTAAACTGACTAACATAGATAAATATGTAAAAAAAATTCTAATCATTATTATGAGCCTAACCTTGGAAGATGGAGAATCTGCCATTGAAGGGAGCTGCCAAAGTAGTGCAAAATAAGCACACTGTAAAGAAGGCAAAATAATCTGCAAAAGAGACAAGCAAGCAAAAGCATGATCACAATTTAAGTATGTCCTATCTAGAGCCCACAAAAACCTGTATCATTATGATAAATCTAATGCTTTAGCTGTAACAGATTACTATGAATAATACAGGCTGAGTCACTAAATTAAGAATTTATTTGCCACATTAATTAATTTCATATTAGCTGAAATTCAGTCTAATAAAATACAAAATTAGGAACATTCAAATTTAACAAGGATGTTCAAACAAGAAATATATTTGGGAGGGCACATATAGTCAATGCTCAGTTAAAATTACCTGAATAGGTAAAGGTCTCTGTTCCAACTCAGAAACAAGAAGCTTATACATCTTGTCATAGAGGTTCCATTTGGTGAGATCATGGGCACTACACAATCCAGAAAGAAATAAAACATAAGCCCAAATAATTTCAAAGTCATAACAATTTCACTTTGAATAGTATGTTGCTACTGACATGTCTGTTCTACATTCACTTAATTTTGTCTTCAAAAAGTCTCCAAAATTTCCCAGGCTAGCAATATTGAAAACACAATATAGATTAAATTAGTTTATTTATTTTTTTAAAAAATGAAATTATTTGTCTCAGGGGAGTAAATGGAAGTGGTCTTTTTAACCAGTACCACTTATAGAAAACCAAAGATCTCTTTAATTTCAAGCAATAACATACAGATAATCCCTGAGTTACAACAGTTCACTTAGTGACCATTTGAAGTTACACAATAACCCCCAAGTATTTACGAAATTACGAATGTTGCAGCACCACAGCAGTCGTTCACCCTTACGAATGACCACAGTGGCCCTGCAACATTCACCCTGCCTATTCCTCCCCCCACTCCCCACAATTGCTTCCCCTTTTCCATCCCATCGTGCCAGGTCACTTACCTGGTGAAGATTTGTCTCCTTTCGGCCACGGTTTCTTTGACGATTTCGCTTCCAGCATCCGATCAACTTGCAAACACTTTTCACATGCCAAGAATGAAATGTTCTGGGCGCGGTGATCTCGCGGGACTTCAGGCCGCAAGATCACGGCATCCAGAACATTTCACTTTCGACGCAAAACATTTGCAAGCCGACGGGATGCTTTGAGGCAGCCCGTCCCTTCAGCTTGCAAACATTTTGCATGGAGACTGGAAGCTTCTGGGCACTGTGATCTCGCGGGGGAGAGGCAATTACACATATCTCAGTGGGTCAGGGGAGGCCTTGGGTGGTCTTAAGCAAGTGGCCTGTTTCATCACTAGGCCCTGCCATGGCCTTTCCCACCCTGAGATACCTCATGTGCATCTAACGACCCACACATTCGATTAGCAAATGTGTGTGCAAAAGCAGGGAGTTTTCATGTTCATTTTACGTGATTCACTCCAACGAATCCTAGGGTTACGAATGTAATTGGCAGGCTCCATTACATTCATAACCCGAGGACTATCTGTATAGGTATTTTATTTGACTTCTGCTAAAACATTTTTGTTACCAAAATTCTGTATTAGAATAAGTTAATGCATTGTGTTGAGATCATCTAGCATACCATCTAGGCACTGAAAGGGTCAACAGGACATTTTTTAAAGAAATTAAATTTATCCAAAAAACAAACATAAGCACTCATAAGCACCAAGGAATTCTGAAACCTCTGACATTTTTCAAGTAAACTCTTGAGTATTATTTGAAAAGCAATTTTAATTCTAACACCCATTTTTTCTTTTAACTGGGGAGCTGCACTCTCTCTTCTTTCCTTGTGCTTTGTCTGGGGATCACAGATAACATGTTAAGAGATCACCAAAGTAGAGGGGGCGAAATGTTTGATGTTTGGCCCTGTTTTCCAGTGGGCTGAAAGGGAGAAAATGGATGCCAGGTCTCAGAAAGCTCAAGCCAGAGTTCTCTAGTGGTAGCAAATCATACCTAAGCAATTCTCAAGTATCCCATTAGTCTTAAAGAATTCTTCCCTCAGCACTGTGTATTTGCTTCTTTCAGCCTTTTGATACTTGATTCTGGATCACTGTACTCCTGTGGACATAGGGATTATGTCCCAAAATCCAAGCTGCTATATTAGATGCCAGGCTTGAGAAGTTGGTTGTTCCCCAATAATCTCTTGGGGCTTATATTTGTGGTTTCAATGGCTTCCCAAGCCATTTATTAGATCCTTTTCTCAGAAGACAAGCCATTTAAAAGTATTAAAGTTATTTTAATGGGTTTTAAACATTCACTTTCCCCCACACCCTTCCAGTTCAAAACCAAAAGGAGGGGAAGGAGACTGAAAATTTTCATCCTTGTTCATTCCAGAGAGGAGTCTGTGATCTGTAAATGAGAGAGGGAATCCAGACCACTAGCTACAACTTGGTTCTTTCTCTTGGACTGTGTAGGCGAAGCACCTAATGCTAACTACTGTATACTGGGTTACACAGCATCAAAATGTGGAATGAGGAATTGGAATAAAAAAAAAACTCACTTATGAAAAGCAGCTATTTGTCGCAAAGTGCAGGTCAGATGCTGAATTCCTTCTTCTTCTGCAGAAACACCATCTTCCTAGAATCATATGCAAAAAAAAGCTGAGCTGTGCTTGAATAGCTAACTGCCTGTCCTCATTAGAAGTTTGTCATAAATGTCTTTCTACTGCTTGCAGCTATTTAACATTTAAACAAAATGTTAAAAATCTTAAGAGGTGAAAGGGACTAGCTGCATGCCTGTCTCCTCTTCCTATACACACAGACACATAGCACTCCCTATATCCATGGTCCATACTCCAGCGCTATGTATACTCCCTTTCAAATTGTTTTCATTTCAATGATCGTTGATGTTACATGCAAGTTGCCTTAGTAGAATTGAAAGGGAAGATATAAATAATTCTAAAAAACAGAGAAATTGCAATAGCACTAATAGAGTCAGCCCTTCAGAGTAGTCCAGACAAGAAACCAATAACCATGTGTAGTGACAATTTATTGTATGCTTACAGTGACAGAAACTTGCAAGTCTGAAACACTTCCCCCCTCCCCTGCCCTCAGTGTTCAGAGAACTAAGGAGTTTCCTTCTGAGACCCTTTCTCCACTCCCACTCCTCCTCTAGACTGATTTTGTTTATCAGTATATTGTCTAGGCTGTACCTCTTCCTCCTGTCTCTCAAAGATATTTTCACAAACTGTTACAAATAATTATTGTTTCTTTGGTCCAATATGTGGTTCAGCTCCCTTTAAAGGTTGCCACCTCTAAAGCCCTATATGGCTTGGGATCAGATTATTTGAAATATCTTTTCCCAGTCACATCTACCTGACCCACTAGAGCCGGGGTGTCAAACTGCCGGCCCGTGGGCTGGACGTATCATGCGGAAGCCGCACCCACCTCATTGTCAGCAATGGCCAAACTTTCCTGATACGTTGCGCGATGTAGAGCAAGGAGGCAGGGAATGTTATAGGTCTCCTCTCCTAAGGAGGTACATCTAAAGGGACCAAGAAGAAGGGCTTTCTTTGTGGGAGTTCCTTCCCTATGGAACATCCCCTCATTAAGATAAGATTAGCCCCCACTTTGACACTCTTTTACAAGGCCCTGAAGACCTAGTTTTGCCAACAGGCCTAGGGAACCCAGAGTGAGATGGAGCCAATCAAGTGGCTTATTTGATTGACTGATTGTTCTCACCAGGGGATGTTCTCCTCCGGAAGATGGAGTTCAGGATGGTATGAAAATCTTTAAAGTGCATTTCTCTTGATGACAAACATGTCATCCACATAGTTGCACCAGAACTTAGGTGTGTAGTTCTGAAATGCACAGTGTTCTAGTTCATGCAGGACTGTTTCTCCAATTACTCCTGATATTGGGGATCCCATGGGTGTCCCTTTTATTTGTTCGTACATTTCGCTTTTGAATGTGAAGAAGTGGAGTAGCTTCATGATTTGTGTCCTGTTAGCTTGTTCTGATCTGTGTTGCATTCTTCTTCTAGTTTTCTATCTATTATTTCATATGCTAGATGGGGAGGGAGGGATGTAAATTGGGACACTACATCAAAGGAGACCATGGTCTCATCAGGAACCACATTTAAGCCTTGTAATTTTGTCAGAAATTGTGTGGATGATGTGACTGTGCTGTTCAAGGGTTGGATCAGGAAGCTTAAGTTTTGTGACAGCCATTTAGCCAGGTTATATGAAAGAGAAAGGAAGAAACAAGATACGAAACCAACCACATGGCACACCCTGCCATACATCAAAAACATTTTGAAAGCTGTAGAATGCAGTTTCCGAGATCTGCAAGTGGGCATTGCATACCGCCCAGAGGCTACCATACAAGGACAAATTATGCATTGTAAAGATCGCTTGTAGGTGGGAGATACTTCCAATGTAATCTACCAAATCCCCTGCATAGATTGTTCCTGTGATTATGTAGGTAGGACAGACAGGAAGGAAGCTAACCACCAGATTGCAAAAACACAAGCGAGAGGTCAGATGAGGACACCCGAATTCATTGGTAGTCTCACACTGAAATGAACAAGGACACACATTCAACTTTGCAGCTATTAAGATTGTTGGACAGGCAGAAAAACAGCCAAGGAAGTGATTGAAGTCTGGGAAACAAGCCCTTCATCAGTCAACAGGAGTGCTAATTTACCATCAGCCTATCACCTACTTAGAAGGCGAGGGCTGGGCAGCACAAGCAAACAGCCAACGACTTAAAAGCCAGCCATCAACACACTTCAATCAGCATCTAAAAAGCCACATATAACAGGTACCATTTAAATACCATACACAGAACAGTACACACTCTGCTAGAGAGAAGTTCCCTAAAGATGGGCTCCAGCACGAGTCCAAAAGCTCAGAAGACAAAATTTCTGGTCCCAGTGATCGACCCAGATTAGATCCTTCAGCATTATCCTGGGACACGAATATTTGCCTTCATTCATGAAACTTATCCTGTCTTTGAACACTTAGAAAGGAACTAAAATTACTTGTTTTCTGGATTTCCTCACATTCAGTGTGATGCACACATTTTCCTGCTAACTGTATTCAGAAAGGGCACCGAGAATAGGGAAAGCTGGCCGTATCCAGACCTGAATGTTCATACAACTATGTACCTCAGTACAAATCTTCCTCTACTGTAATTTATTATCTTCACTAAAAATTTATCTATTTCTCTCAAATTACAAGGGCTCAATGCGTCTTTGAATCAGGGTTTTTCCAGTTACTAAGCTCTTTTTGAAGAGTAGTTACCCTGCCAATTCATTGAGGGCTTTTAAATATTTAATTGGTTCTTTATTTTATTGGGATTTTTATGACCTAGGCTTTACTTGTTTTTTATTGCAGTTTCATGTGTGGTTGATCCATGCCCTGGTAAGAAAAGAATAGAGCTATGCATCGATAAAATAAAATAAATGATTCTCCTTCCCTTTGGGGGAGACCATTCATTTGATTGGTCAAAATATATGTGTCTCTATGTTTTTAGTCATAAAAATTATTGCTAAAACACTTTTTTAGAAGAGAGACTGGTTACGCTCAATGGAAGCCTTTGAATTCCATTGTTTTACAATTACAGACAAACATAGAATTTTAAAGATCATGGAAAATGCAGTAGTTATCAACTATAAAATAGCTTAATGATACAAGGCAATTTTATTAAATAGTCCTTTTCTTGCAGTCTTAGAAAGCAATATCCAACTGCTATCTAATTTTCACAACTAAAATTGAATTCCTCTTTATTTTTTCCCATTATGTTTCTACCCTTGATTCCCAATGCTGACATATGTGGACATGTTAAATCTCTTTACGAAAAATGCCTTCACTAGCATGATGCAGCAAATTTGAAGAACTAGAACTTAAAATTAAACAAATTTAGTTAATTCTCTTAGTTTTCACATTATTTATAAAACCTTTATCTTTGTTTTCATTGTTAACTACAATTCCAAAATGATTGTGTGATCAGATTATAGAAACTAAGATGTACAATGCAAAATTTTGCTGACTTCACTGCATAAATTACAAGGCTGGTACAAAATGTATTATTCTTTTTTATCCACAACCAAAATAAATATGGTGTTTGAATCTGACTAATACATTTTTTTAAAAAAAAAAGCTGTCAGGATGAACACTTACCCAGTGGAATGACATCTGTTAGTCATGGCACAGTTGATCAACTGTTATTGAACTAAGTCTGCAGGCTATTCATATTTCCAACAGCTGCTCTTATATATTCTTAGAACCAACTAAAACCTTTTCAAGTATTTTTACAGTCCCCTTCCTCAACATATGCACAGAAATACAAATCCCAAAGCCATATTTAGCATTTAAAACATCTTACAAATATTTTCAACCAGCAACAAAACTTTAAAAGCAATGTAAGATAATGTTCTTATAAGCCACAATATGAAATAAGATATATTTTATTTCCAAATTAATTCCTCTTTTAAATTAGTTTTTTCTGAATAGATTTCAGTAGACAATCAACAAAATACAGGCTTTTAAATAATCCCAAAATAAAATATAACCTTCAAAACGAAATAAATATCACTCTGTTCTTTCATTTTATTGTTATTTTTAGGACCAAGGAGAAGAAGTGGTTCATAAGGGCTTTAGCTGATTTAATGTGCTTTCACACTATTGTATATGCTTTTATATTTTTATAATATAGTTTTATTTTGTTGTGTAACTTTGAACTATTTCTTTAAAGAAAGGAGAAGTAGGAAAGTCTTAAATAAAATGTTTTTTAAAAAAATGTAAATTTTGGCAAGAACATTCACAATGTACACTCCAAAGAAGTATATCAAATTCTAACATTTTTTCTACTGAAATATTTAATGCATTAGTCCTGTAGCAAGCAATTCAGACATGTGCCTGAATTATCTGATGCATACACAACTGTTCATGGCGGTCTATGCCCAAATCAAAATACGTGTTTTGAAAGTTTCAGGAAGGGAAGAGGACTATTTTGTGATTTGTGGAGAAAAGTGGGAAGAAGCACTGGAAGATTGTAAAAGGGAAAAGGGGAGGACCTATGAAAGGGTGCAGGGATGCCAGTGAGAAATGTCATACTGGAATGTTGGCCTAGAAGCATCTCAAGGAAAGCCCTAGGAGGACTAGCTGAGAGCATTAGCAGGATATGCAATGTTGAGATTAGCTGAAAAGAGATAGAAAAAAACTGCTCCATAAAATACCTAGATTCAGATCATTCCAGGTTTTATTTCTGCCAAATCACAGCTAATCCAAACTGCCTGATACAACTCCCAGAATGTGATAGTTGAAACAAAACCTTTTCTGTACAATGTACAGAATTTCTGTACACTCCTACAGGATTGTAATACATTCTTTAAAGGAAACAAAAGACTAATACTAAACCTTGAATGACTTCATATATGATCAGTCTACAATATTTTTCTATAGGAAGTCCACCATGATACACATTTTCATTTTATCATATGTACTACTGTCTTGCCTTAACATGTGCATCATAGATATCTTTACTAATTCAGAGGTAGCAACAATGAAAGTAGGTAATTCCTTCATGGGGTGTCTGAATTATCCTCACAACTGGAGAGAAGGGAACAAATAAACTACAGAAGGGACAAGAATCTCAGTATTGTGACTGACAAACAATCATATGTACAAAATATTAGATAATTTTGGCTTCATATTGACATATAGGGAGGGAAATGGCTCAGCAGTTAAAGATGCTGAGCTTGTCAGTTGGAAAGCTGACAACACCTGAGCACCATGCGATGGGATGAGCTCCCATTCTCACCCCAGCTCCTGTCTACCTAGCAGTTCAAAAGCATGCAAATGTGAGTAGATAAATAGGTACCACTTCAATGGGAAGGTAACAGTATTTCATGCATCTCAGTGTATAGTCATACTGGTCAGATGACCATGGAAATGTCTTCAGACAATGCTGGCTCTCTTGGCTAAGAAACAAGATGAGCACCGCCCCCTAGAGTCAGACACGACTGGAAAGGGGAAAACCTTTACCTTTTACCTATTGATATAATTTAATAATTTTTTCCTAGTTTGTAAATTAATCATATATGAAAATGGCATTTGCTTGTATATCTCAGTTCTCACTAACATAAAAACAGTGTATTTTACAGTTTAGAAAAAAAATCACTATTTTGTTCCAGATATCTAAGTTTTGCTTCTGATTAAATACAAAACTCATATTTACCTTATGCCAAAAAATACCTAGTAGTTGATTTAGTTTCTCCACCCATTCATTCACCAGTTCAGCTCTAGCAAAAGCCACTTGGTTATGAATAGTAAGTTCTTCTCTGGAAAGAATACTGTATAGCCTGGAGCAGGTCTCTAGGATATTAGTGTTTGAGTGTATCATTACAATGGCTTTTACCTCTCTCAATAAAGCATCGAGGTCCTGCAAGAAAAGGAATTATTAATATCCTAAACAGTAGTAGATTACTTAAACCAGTGTTGTCCACAAATGGTACTGTACTCAGTTTGAATTTAGGAGCATATTTGTTTAGCCTTAAATGCATTATAAGCCTCGAACAAGGCACTGCATAGTTACAATATAAAATAAGAAATATAAAGTCTAATTCATAAATCAGGTTTATCATCAAACCTCGCAGAGCATTTAGCGCAGTTAGATGTGCAGAAATAAAAGGTGAATAATCAAGAAGATTCCATATCTGCAGAGTCTGAAAAATTACCCTTCAAATTATTTCAGGTGAAACTGCTTTTGTGGCAAAGGCCATATTTTCTCACCATGTCCCAGGCATCATTTCAATTTTTAAGAAGGGTGATGAAAACAAACATAATAATGGTATTTATTTCAGTAGTAAAAATGAAACAATCAATGAATGACATTTTTTTCACCATATTTCTCACAATTTTCTATCTCCCCATCCGTCATAAAAGTAAATTCACCTTATTGAATGAACTAGTACTGTACCGCTCTAAATCAAAATACTGTGAGATCTGCAGAAGGTTTGTCACTTTTTCTGTATCTAGTGAATACTGCAAAGGAAAACAGGATATTAGTGTGCTGCTAAAATTCAAATTAGTTATTGAATATGCATTCACAAGCGCAGCTGCACATTACCTTTGCCAAGAGTCGAGGAAGAACCACAATAAAGTGTTCAGTAATTTTAGCACAATCTTCCATTTGTATTTTCTTCTCTTTGGTAGACAAGATCTATAGACAAAGCACTTTGTTGTAATTATAATCCTGCCACTGTTCATGATTGAAATGAGCTGCATGATTCAAATTCTATATGGCAAATTACTAGGTATGAAAGTATCAAACTGCTTGAAATGTAGTCAATTTATTTAAAGAAATTATCATTTTTTGAGCATGGCTATGTACTGTAAATTAGCTGCTTTGAATCCTTTTTCTATTCTAAGATATATCCATGTTTGAGCAAGGGAAAAGAGAACACAGATAAAGAAACCTGTAGGCATTCCAAACATATCAGTGGTTTAGAAAGAGTTCACCACTTCTAGGTTCTAAGAACAAGCTGTGCATATCTTGCAACTCTTTCAATAGCAACAAGTTGGTACTCTGTAGGATCATGGCTAAATAAACATTTTCACCAGCAAAATAGAACTGCTTTGAAATTGTAGTTAATAAACAAATCTTAGAAGGTCAGAGTGATTTGTAGTTGCAACATGATCATGGTTTGTTTCCAGTTTTAACATATGCACTTAAATTCACATATTATTCCAAACATAACAATAAACTGTGATTTCATCCAGTTGGGAAGCATTCCATTAGGTTCAAAGAGGGGAGGGAACCTATAAATATAGGAAATGTTCCCAATCCCCTAAAATATCCTTCCCAACGTAGTGCCTTTAAGTTGTGCTGACAACGTAAGAGCCTGATTGAAGGGGTATCCTAGTCCCTGAAAGAATAAAACCAGCATGCAGTATATCTGAGCAATGGTTTCCTTGGGTACAACAGGCATCTGCTCTCTGAGTAGGAGCTGTGAATCCAAGTCAACTGTTAAGTTGTGCACTAGTCTTGAATAAGGAATGCATTCCCTATTGCCACAAATTCTTTTATTGGAAAAGACACAACCCTTTGAGTAAGCATTTAAGATTGCTTCTTTTTCTCAAACTACAAAGCAAAAGAGGACTGCTCTACAATAATCCTAATATGGCATTGGTATGAGTTTGGATGGCCTCTATTGTAGGCAGAATGAGGCTAGTGCATCCATCCTTGATCAACTTGACCTCTTGGCAGCTTTTGATACCATCGACTTTGGTATTCTTCTGTATCAGCTCCAATGGGAAATAACAAGCCCACTGGTTCCAGGACTATACCAATTTTGGTGCTGGATGGGTCTGCCCTGCCCCCAACAGACCTAATGCACAATTTGGGGGTTGTTCTAGCCTTATGACTCCTGCTCGATGAAAAGCTGGCAATTGTGGCTTTGAGGATCTTTGCATAGTTTTGTCTTGTGCACCAGTTCTGCTCATTCCTGGTTCAGCAGCCCTGCTTACATTCACTTATGCCCTAGTCACTTCCAGATTGGACTACTGCAAGGCTTTTCAACCGGTGGTACGCATACCACCTGTGTTACTTTGGCATATGGCAGGTGATACGTGACCGTCCTAGAGAAGTGTAGTGGGGGAGGGGAATGAGCTGAAGCGACCCAAGCCTGAGGGAGAGGCAACTGGAGCTGCAGGACTGACTGGGCTTGGCTGAGGAATTCTGGGAATTGTCCACGAGTCCTAAAAATGCCAAGTTTGAAGACCCCTGAGCTAGCTGGTAGTGGTGCATATTAATAAATATGGATAAATTCATCATACATTTGTCAGTGCAAAGGGAAAGTGATTCAGCAAAGGAACAGCTGCTGAAGAAATTAAAACCGGTACTTTTTTACTTTTTTCTACAGTTTGTAACATTTTATTAGATTATAAAATAAAATACAAAAATACAAAAGCAAATAGTAGCATGCAATGGGGAGGAAAAAGGGGGGGAAAGTGAGGGGGAGAAGGGAAAAAGAACAGACTTCCTCTGTTGCAGTAGATGGAAGCACTAACATTGAACCTCAACTTTTTACTTTTCCATAATATTATAAACTAGCCATTTCTATAACAACAAATGAATCTAATCAGTAAAACGCAAAATCCCCCCCCCTTTCTTTTCGTCATCAAGTTTTTGACACCTTGCTAAGCACTGGTGGTACTCAAATATTGTTATGTCCTAAAAGTGGTACAATCTGTGAAAAGGTTGAAAAGCCTTGGACTACTGCATTATGCTTTACATGGGGCTGTCCCTGAAGAATACCCAGATACTTTAGAATGCAGAGGGGCAGGCAGTTATGTGTGCTCCTACACCAGTGCATGTCACCTCTGCTGTGGTCCAACTCAATGTGCTGGTTTTAATCTTTAAAGTCCTTCATGGCATGGGATTGAGTTATCTGAGGAACTGCCTTTACTTGGCCAGTGTATAGCACAATTCAATATGTGGCTAAAGGAGTGGAGTAAAGGGGAAGGCTTTGGATATATTAGTCACGATGTCAGCAGCTGGTCCAATGAAAAAATGTACAAAAGATATGGTTTGCATCCATCAAAGAAAGGGACTGAGTTATCCGGCTATAAATTCACAGATTTTCTGGAGAAATATTTAAACTAAACAGTGGGGACAGTGAGCTAATTGATAAAGAACATCCCTGTCCCCGGCAATCTAAAAATTATAGGGCTACCAGTGCATGTAACATAGATATGTATGTGGACAAGAACATCAACCTTGCTGTCAAGCAAAATCAAGCTTTTAATAGCGACTGCCACACAAAGTGCACTAACCAAACAGGTAATAAGACAATAGGGGAATTCAGACACCACACAGGTTATATAGAAAGTAAACACAGGGCCAGTCATAAAGAACTCAAATGTCTATACACCAATGCACAGAGTATGAACAGCAAACAGGGTGAACTAGAAATTCAGGTTAATGAGGGCAGATATGATATTGTTGCCATTACGGAAACATGGTGGGATGAAACCCACAAATGGAACACACAGCTAGAGGGATTTAAATTTAAAAGAAACAGACCAAACAAAAGAGGTGGAGTTGCTCTCTATATAAGAAATAACTACCATCTCTACAGAAATAGAGCACAACAATAATGAAAACTGTCTTGAATGCATTTGGGTCAATATAAAAGGGGGGGGGACGACATTACCATAGGTGTATACTATAGGCCACCCAACCAAACAGAGGAAATAGATGAACTTTTTGCTAGTCAGCTAACTAAGGTATGTAGGAAGCACATCACAATAGTAATGGGGGACTTTAACTACCCTGACATCAACTGGGAGACAAACTCTGCACCAAGTGGAAGATCAAACAGATTCCTGACAAACCTGGGCAGACAACTTTGTCTCCCAAAAAGTAGAGAAGGAAACTAGGGGATTAGCCATTTTGAATCTAATTCTCATTAACAGAGATGAAATGATAGAAGGTGTTGAAGCCATAGGAACCTTGGGAGGAAGTGATCATGCAATATTGGAATTCAACATTATGGAAGCACAAGCAATAGAACACAGTCAAACTGGAGTCTTGGACTTCAAGAGAGCTAATTTCAATAAACTTAGAGAGGGTTTGGGAAGGATTCCATGGATGAGAATCCTCCAGGGGAAAACAACTCAAGAAGCTTGGGAAATTTTGAAAAGTGAGATAATAAAAGCCCAGTTTAGCACAATACCAACAAAGAGGAAAAATAACAGTTCTCAAAAGAAACCAGCATGGCTGCATAAAGAACTCTCTGATAAATTGAAAGATAAAAAGGACAAGCATAGAAAGTGGAAAGAGGGGCACATAACTAAGTCAGAATATCAGCAAATAGCCCGAGCCTGCAAAGATGAAGTGAGGAAAGCTAAGGCTCAAAATGAACTAAGGCTTGTGACCAAAATCAAAAATAACAAAAAAAGCTTCTTTCAACATGTAAAAAACAAGAAAAAAGTGAAGGAAACGATTGGTCCATTAGTGGGTAAAAGTGGCAAGAATGTGACAAGCAACAAGAAGAAAGCAGAACTATTTAACTCATTTTTCACATCTGTCTTTACACAAAGGGAAAAAACAGACCAACCTATCAAAAATAGTGCCATAAAAAACAGAATAGAAACACAAGTTAAGATAGGCAAGAAAATGGTAAGTGAGCACCTGTCCAGCCTAGCTGAATTCAAATCACCAGGACCAGATGGATTACACCCCAAGGTTCTCAAGGAACTGGCAGATGTGATCTCTGAAGCACTGAACTATATTTTTCAAAGATCCTGGAGCACTGGGGAACTACCAGAGGACTGGAAAAGAGCTGATGTAGTTCCCACCTTCAAAAAAGGAAAAAAATGGATCCAGGAAATTACAGACCTATCAGCCTGACCTCAATACCTGGGAAGATTCTGGAAAAGATAATCAAACAACGAATCAGCGAACACCTACAGGCAAACAAAGTCATTACTAAAAGCCAACATGGGTTTGTCAAAAACAGATCATGCCAGACAAATCTTATTGCATTCTTTGACCAAGTGACAAAATTAGTGGACCAGAGGAATGCTGTGGATATAATTTACTTGGACTTCAGTAAGGCATTTGACAAAGTAGATCACAACCTACTACTTGAGAAGATAGAAAAATGCGGGTTAGACAGCATCACCACCAGATGGATCCGTAGCTGGCTGACCGGCCGTATTCAGCGTGTGGTCCTCAATGGAACTGCATCTACATGGAGGGAAGTGTGTAGTGGGGTGCCCCAGGGCTCTGTTCTAGGCCCAGTGCTCTTCAACATCTTCATCAACAATTTGGACGAGGGGATAGATGGGGAACTCATCAAATTTGCAGACGACACCAAGCTTGCAGGAATAGCCAACACTCCAGAAGACAGGCTTAGGATATAGGAGGATCTGGACAGACTTGAACACTGGGCGCTATCTAACAAAATGAAATTCAATGGTGAAAAAAGTAAGTTTCTACATTTAGGCAAGAAAAACCAAATGTACAGGTATAGTATAGGGGGTACCTTGCTCAATAGTAGCAACTGTGAGAGGGATCTCGGAGTCCTAGTAGACAATCATTTAAATATGAGCCAGCAGTGTGCTGCAGCTGCCAAAAAAGCCAACACAGTGGTAGGCTGCATTAACAGTATTAATACCACTCTACAATGCCTTGGTAAGGCCACACTTGGAATACTGCATCCAGTTTTGGTCACCACGATGTAAAAAAGATGTTGAGACTCTAGAAAGAGTACAGAGAAGAGCAACAAAGATGATTAGGGGACTGGAGACTAAAACATATAAGGAAAGGTTGATGGAATTGGGTATGTCTAGTTTAATGAAGAGAAGGACGAGGGGGGACATGATAGCAGTGTTCCAATATCTCAGGGGCTGCCACAAAGAAGAGGGAGTCAAGCTATTTTCCAAAGCGCCTGAAGGCAGGACAAGAAGCAATGGATGGAAACTAATCAAGGAGAGAAGCAACCTAGAACTAAGGAGAAACTTCCTGACAGTTAGAACAATTAACCAGTGGAACAACCTGCCTCCAGAAGCGGTGAAGCTCCAACACTGGAAGTTTTTAAGAAGAAACTGGACAGCCATTTGTCCAAAATGGTATAGGGTTACCTGCCTGAGCAGGGGGTTGGACTTGATGACCTCCAAGGTCCCTTCAAACTTTATTTTTTATTATTGTTGTTGTTGTTGTTGTTGTTGTTGTTGTTGTTGTTATTATTATTATTATTATTATTATTATTATTATTATTATTATTATTATTATTATATCAATCTGCACCATCAGATCTGACAGACAGGACAAGTTGCAGGTTCCATCATCTAGGAATCTATATTTGGTGGGTCCTAGAAGAAGTGCCTTGTATGCCATGGCATCTGCATTATAGAACATGCTTCCCTCCAAATTTAGATTAGCTCCACCCCTTTTGATAGAATACCAGACACTTGCTGAGATGGCTGTATTATTGAGATGACCATTTTTGAGGACTTCCGGTTTTGCGCCTGTAGCGCACGGTCACAGGAGAGCAGAACTCCACTCCCCACGGCTAGTTTCCTCCTGCCTGGGGGACCCTAAAGGGGTCTGAAGTTGCCCCGTAGAGGCGACCGTGAAAGAGGGGTGCCCCATTGATCACGAAGTGACAGCAGTCGCTTCATTTGATCCGGGAGAAGCCTCCGACTCGACAGGAGAAAGGCTAGCATGATATCAGCGTCTAGCCCAAGCTACTTGCAGCCAAAGTCCAAGAGCACGAACCTGAACATCAGTGAACAGCGTGCTTAGAATTGGTGAGAATACTGATCTTCTCTATTCTATCTCTTAACTGAATCCTTGGGAAAGGCTCCCAAAGCAAGAAAATCTCCAAAAGTGAAGGGAGGGGACCACATCCCCACTCCCTCGTAGACGGAAGCGGCAAATTAATACTAAGGGAGAAAGAAATGTATTGAAATTCAACTTAAAATACTACAGTCTGGATAAATCTAGAAACTAAAAAAAAACAAAACCTGTTTAGACTGCACCTTAAAGGCTCTTGATGAAATTATAAAAAATATATAATAACAATAACTTTCTATTTGAAAAAACTGAAAAATGAACAATTACTGACACCTAGTGGAGAATCAGAACACAGAATACTAACAAAAAGGTTTCAGAAACTGGCAGGATGCCCAGAAACAACGAATAATCTGTTCCCTTGAAACTGTAAATAACCTTGAAGACAGCTGGGAACAAAGGAAGAGCCAGGCCAGCCATAAGATTAAAGAGTGTCTGAAAGAAAAATACTTGGACTGTTGTTTAAATTTAAGAACTGTTTACAGAAAAAGAAATTTTTTGGCTCTTGGCTAATCTTTTAGAGGAGAATTTACAGGAAGGACTTAAAGTGGCTTCCACATGGAAATCCGAAACAACTTTGAGGATTTAAATAAGCACATCTCTAATTTAAATCTGCAACTAAAAAACACTCAGGAAATAATGGCGAATGAACAAACAAATCAGGTAACAGAACACAAATTAGAAGAACACAATCAAATTGATGAAGCAACAAATGAAAAGAATTACAATTTAATACAAACAGGAAAAAATCTACAAGATTTTAATACAACAATAAAAACGGAATGGACTATAGGATTTCTAAGAGAATCATCAGAGTTTGGGAGACAGAAAGCAGATATTCTACTTATGTCATCTTTTGTATTCCCAACAATACTTGCAAAAACACAGGAACTGCCGGATAAGTGGATTATATCAACTTGGAAAGCTATTCGGCAAAAGAAGAAGACGAGAGAAAGATTCTAGAGATTTGACTTGCCCTATCAGCTGGAGTATTACATGAACAAACACTTGTTTGAATGTGGTTAAAAGAATAGGGAACTTTGAACATAAAAGAGCTCTATAACAAGAGGGATAAGAGATTTAAGTAATATAGTATGTTTTATAATACATGAGATGTAAAAATAGTGGGTTGATGTAACTTTTATTAATATAAGTGAAATATAAGCTGACTAAAAAGGATGTTATACCTAGATGCTATAAGATAGATAAGAAATACAGTATTTGTATAATGTATGAAATATGAAAACATTGGGATGGTGTACCTAAATGGGAAAATTTGGATATTTAGATGACTAATATTTGAAGAAATCATGACTGATAAGAAATGGATTGAATATAAAAGGGAAATTAAATTTAAACAAAAACTATGAAAATAGGATGCATGGTGAATTAATGAGATGGTTATAAGAATAATATAAGCTGGGGAAAAATGTTATACTAAGTGATTATTATTTGTATAAATATAAAAATGTATATATTTAATCATTCATATACTGAAAGAATTACATTTTGTTTAATATTGACAAAGGAAAATATAAAGGGGAGAAGGGAAGATCAAAGAAATATATTATTAATTAATATATTAATTATGGGATTATCAAATTTAATCATTACTGATGTTAATTTATTATTATTGTCTTTTTTTTCTTTTTAAAATGTAAACCAAGACAACACGCTGTACACCAGGCACTGGAGATTGTCATTGTTAAAAACCAATAATATATATATATACTGAGATGGCCATTTTATCTCTCTCATTACCCAAGGTTTGCATCTTTGGTTTTATATTTATTAATATAGATTTTTATATTTTATAGGTGTCGGTTTTTTACACTGTTTTTTTGTCTCACTGCTGTGCATAACCTAGAGTCGCTTTTGGTGATATGGGCTGCTATACAAATTCGATTAATAAAGAAACCCTAAGGTTCTGTGGGAATACTATGGTTTTCTTCCCTGCATTGGATATAAGTCAGGTATCACATTTGCTTTCCACCCACCATTTGGTTCTATCATTACAGAGAAATGGATTGCTGTCGCTATAAACAGAAGGTTTTTGCTACCAATAAAGTAAAAAAATAAAGCTCTACTGACTTTCTTGATTCCTCCTCTGCCTGTGGGAGGACCTTCAACAGCTTGTCGAACAGTTGCTAGGATTATTTCAATAAGGGCACTCTCCTGGACATCACTCAGTGCTGTAAACAAAACAATGGAGAATCTATTCAGTCTTCCTCAGAAAGAAGTAGAGTTCTGAGAATCTGGAAGCCCACAGTGACTTTAGCCATTAAACCTAGGAATGTTTTAATGTAACTAAAAAGACATTCTCTGTTTCTTTTCCTCTACAAATGATTTTGGGTTGTCTGATAGAGCTTACCCTACAGACTCAAATAAGAGACAAAGATCTAAGGGGAATCAATGAATGATAAAAAAGATCAAATGCTTATTAAGTAAGATAGATAAAACTAATAATTATTAATATGCCCTACATGGACATACATGTTTAGTACTTCAGGGTAAGTCTTAAAGCCTTAATCTGCTTCACTACAGTTTATTAAATTAAAATACACACACACAAAGGTGTCATAAATAATGGTATACAACACACTAAGCCAAACAAATCCTCTTATCACTTTCCAGAATTCATGAACTAGCAAGGCACTGCATTCTTTGCTCTGACATAAAACAGAAGTCAGATTAGCTAAGCTGCTCAGCCAAATTCTGAGTGGAGGACTGGTCTTCAGAGCACACAGCCTTTTAAACAAGTGTCTGTTTATGACACTGCTCCTGAAATTCTCATATCAACCTGGGTTCATATCACTGATGCTCTGGGTTGCCCTTTCAAAGCCAAAAGTAGCAATGAAAGCACTAAGCTTTATAGCCCACTTACCTCTTTTATGTTCTCTGGCATCCTCCAGTAAGAGAGCTGTCATGCGTTCCCAATCTTTCAATAAATGCACGCCACAATCCCACAGGCTGTCTACAAGATATATGACGTGGTTATGCAGCTAAAAAATAAAAGAAATAATCCAATAGGACAAGCTACCATTATGATCCTAGAAAGCAGTAAGGTCAAGCAGAAACTTGCATGTTTTCAATATCTCCTCAAAAGTAAAAATTCCCATGATACCAAATTTGATATCTAAACATATTTTCACTATAGTTCTGGGAATATCCCTTCTGATTGTAGCTTGTCATATTACTTTGCATTTAAAGATGTACAACAAAAGTGCTAAAAAATAAGAAATACTCCTTTGGTCACTTTAAACATTCATCATTTCAAGATCAGTTATTAGAATACATTCAGAAAGAACATATTTTGCCAATGTATAAACTAGCCTAACTTTGGACAGGCCTTCAAATAGCCATACCCACATTAAAATTGTAGACTTTTAAGTTCAACAGGAGTTTAACTTAATAACAGTGAAACAATTCATATGACAAGTTAGTTGTTTGAATGCATTACAATTTATCACATTCCTTAACCAAGAAAATGAACTGCCTTGGCTGTTTAAAAAGTGTGTATGTTGAAACATACACACTCAAAAGTTAGCCTTTCAACAGTTTCAATAAAAGATATAATCAGGTGTTTATTATTAACTCAATCTTTTCCCTTCATTTCTTCAGGCATATTTTTCAAAACAAATTCTAATTCATTGTATTCTCCAAATCTTCCACTATACTGTAATTACAATTATCCAAAACTAGCAATAACAATATGAGATAGTACTTTCTTACATATTTTGTTTAATAGCAAATTAACCCAATTAATATTCACCCACTCTGAAACCTTCACATTTGCCCCTTAATTGTATTAGTTGTCTTTATTCAGCTATTTCTCCCTTGTAGTCTGGGCAGGGAATTTTACCTCACTTTCCAAGAAAAAAACTATTAGTGTTTTCAGCTGGCTAGTAATAGGTTCCTGTTTTCCATTTGTTTTGGTGAATGATTCTGGCTCAATTTCCTGGATAATCAATCTGTCAAAGAAATAAGGAGTAGATCAAAAGCAACTCCCAAATTCTGATTTACAGCAAGCAACTTCAGTCAATGTAGGTGGGTATAAGATTGTAACCAAACATCTGATTTTTCAAAGTTAAGGAAAAGTATTACTTGTAATCTCAGAGATAGTCTTGAAAACATGACGGCAATGTCATGAATGCTTTCAGTCTTCTTTCTCTACAAATTGTTCTCTTTGGGTCAGAACAAATCTTAAATATTTTCTTTCATTTCCAACAATGCAGGCTTCATATAAGGCTGATGATCTGATTGGCAAGTGTACAGTGAAGTATACTGTAATGAAGCAGAATTTTGTTTTCTAAGAAAAACTTACCTTGAAACATTTTCAATTAAAGGAATGGTATAAGTTCAGCATCATACAAATGGACTATAATTTTTTCCAGGGCTGTGCACACTTTGAAAATGATTCAGAAGTGCTTCAAATTTGATGTGAACATCACACTTCTTTGCATCAAAAGAAGTGAATTCACTGTAGTTCAAAAAGAATCCACAACATTCACATAAGGTCTATTAACACTTCTTTTAAATTAATATTTGTACAGTCCTTTTTCTTATTATATTGCCAAGAGCAGTTCAAGCTTCTGCCTGAGTAAACTGAATTTTCATGGCTGAAAGAAAGAAGGAGTTAGTCCTTATAGACCTGAACAGGCTATCCCTGAATCATATCGCATTGTAGCCATGACTTCAGTAATTGACCTTAGCAAAATGTTTTTCTTTCATTTCCATTATTGCATCTATGGCAGGGGTCCCCAACCTGCAGTCCGCGGAACAGGCTGGCCAGAGCGCGCACATATGTGTGCATATTCACCCCCACTCGTGCTAGCGCCACTATGCAAATGGGGCGCTGTGCAGTGAAAACGGGGCGCCCCTGCTATGCAAACAGGGCGGCGCAAAAATCGGGCACTGCACGGTGTGAAAATTGGGGAAATTGGGCAGCAGGCTACTACAAAAACCAGGCGCCACACAAAAACCAGGCACCACACAGTGCAAAAATGGGGGGAAACCAGGTCCCATGAGGTGCAAAAATGGGGGGAAACCAGGTGGTTTTTTTTGTCATAGAATGCCCAGTACGGAGTTCCGGCATCTTTTTTGGATGGAACCTTGTAGGGTAGGCAAGGCGGGTTGTATGATGTGTGTGAGTTCCGGCACCTTTTTTTTTTTTTACAAAAAAAGCACTGAAGGTAGTTTTAAATTCCATCAACAATAAAACATGGATATCCTTGAAAAAAAGTCACTTTTCAGACTGAAATGTTTGGCAGATAAGTTTAATAAATAAATAAAATACCTTTTGTAAAGTAATTCCCCAGCAGCTACCGCCAATGGTCGGTGGGTGCTATAAACAAACTGGTACAAGTTTTTGCAGTCTTCAGCTGATAAGGCATCATCACAGTTCCTGTACAGAAATCTAATGTTAAACATGGTTTGCTAAAACATATGATGTTTGGTATTCTGACAGCATCATATGCATGTTTTCTCAGAAATAAGTAACAATATATTGAGTAGGGTTTAGCCATGGGTAAATGCATGCATTAATGCAGCTAAAACTACAACAATTGATGATTATTTTTTCTCTGCCTCATATTTTATTCACTTAATTGCAAAATAAGCTAAAAGTATGCCATATAATTAAATTGTATATTAATTTAATAACCTTCTTCCCCCTGTGATTTTATAACAAGCACTGAAAATCAGCTATTATCATATATTTTATGCTAGTATCTTTGTGCTATAAGAATGTAAACATATTTGACAGGGTTGGTTCTGTTGTAGATGATCCCAGGATTATAAACAGAGGCATTTGTAGATAAATTACTTCATACAGCAGAGTATGATAATCACTGTTAGAAAAAAAGTAAATAAATAACAGAATAAGTTGAGAGAAGTAAAAGAAAATAATTCTAAATTATCACCGCTGGTCAAATTTGCTTTGAAAAATGAAAACAAAATTAACTTTTCCTGAACTATAGATGTAATGAAAGGTCAACAGTGTACTTCAATAACAGGCTATCCTGTTTTAGTTCTGTCATATTTTACATGATTATATAAAAATGACAAAATGTAAAAAATGATATTCTCTAGTATAACTTAAACATTTTGTAAACAAAGCATCTGACATTTTTCAATGTGCCCCTTTTATATTAGATGGAAACTTCTTATCCATAAACACCAATGTCACTAATAAGCAGCTATCAGACTTAAAACTTGTTACCCACCAGACTGGCCTTTTAGAAAATAATTAGCTTGTGCAACAAATATTTCAATAAAGAAGAATATTTGTAGCTCAGGGTTGAAATGAAGGGTCCTTGCTCCTCTTTGAGCTTGGTTGTTTCCTTGGACTAGCACTGATGAAGTTACCTAGTTTGGGTAATGAAATATCTGCAAGAAAACTACCAAGCTCAGAGGGCACCAAGAACCGCCCAACTAATATTTCAGTAGCCATTAATTGAATTGGATATGATATGTCTCTTAGTGAGATTGCTGTACAGAGAAGTTCTTGAAATTCCTATCTTGTTTAAAAATTGGTCATATCCTAAAAAATTGGTCATGCCCTCATTATAAATACAGAAGTTGAGAGATAGATATGTTATGAGAATGGTCATTATTCGCTTGTTTACTAGGAGACAAGGCAGCTTCAAAAATAATGTACCGGTAAGTTGATAATTATTTGACCTAACATTTTCAGAAAGTTGTGAGTCTTTTCTTTTTAATAAAAAAATCTTATTTTTCTTGAGAAAACACTTTACATAAATTTCCTGGAGTACAATAGAAATTCAGCATTTTCTAATAATCAAAATAGCAGCTCTCCTTAAATCTAGGATGGTCAAACTTCCTAAATATCATTTTCTTATGTGAATGTAATTTAAGACTAGCCAGTAAAACTATAGCTCACATCCTGCTACACTGCATCTTCTATAAGGACTCACGGACTCAATTTATAATACCTTACCTAATAAAATATCCAGGAAATACTGATCTTTTTGTACATGCAACTACTGTTATCAGAATAATGTAAATAATTTCTCTGAATGTGGCCAAATTCTGTTATGCTGTATATAAAATTAGGCAAACATTAACTGCCCACTGTTAATCCACCACCAATTGTAATATATTATTCTGTCTGCCTTTTATTTTTATTTTTTACTATTGTTGATTTTAATACTTTTATTTGCTGGTCTGTGACTGTAATAAGATAATAAATAAAAATTGATTTATTGATTGACTAGCCAAGAAATAGCTAAAAAAAACCTAGTATTATTAAAAATAAAAGTAGTAAAAACAAAAAAACAGGAGGGGAGAAATTCTTTCTATAAAGTCTAATTATTTCCTAAGATTTAACAATTGATCCAGATAAAGTTAAGCCAGAAATGCCTGTTGGTATTTAGCTATCTAAAAATAAGTCTGGCCTTCACATACCATGTCTACTTTACATCATTTTATTCCATCTTGATTGTGATCAAGCATGTATAGAAATGTAATGCTGAAATAAATATTTTTTCCAAAGACACAAAAAGTAGACAAGAAAAACTGAGGTTTTCCTGTGTATTTATCTGTATATTATATGTGCATGTGGGTTTATACCCAAATACACACACACACACACACAAAACACATATGCAGGGATACACGTACACAGATATATATTTGCAAACTTGTATATATGGAGGGGGAGAGAGAGGCCTAGAAAAACTTTCATATTTTTTTTTAAATCTCATTTGTTTTGAGCATTCTAACACCCTGGAATGGCTTTCACCCTACATATGTAGTCTATAATCCCTCCACTGAAATAGACCCATGGTTTAATCCAAAAAAGCAAAGCAAGAAACATTCAAGAGATAAGAACAAAGAGGCAAAATATACATCTTGGAAGAAAAATCAAACTCAAAAGGCTGAAGCATCATTTACACTTTTTCAAAAGGGCTATAAAACAGGAGTAACATTTACCAAATTGGAGAATGGAGAAGTGATAATTTCTTCCTCTAAAATAAGAATATTTGAAATTTCATATTATTTCTCCTATTATATTTAAGTATAAAGAATCAGATTTAGAATAGATACATTGTCTATTTATTGTCTGTTCATTTCTTAAACAGTTTGTCAAAAATTGGAACTGCTATTAAGATATTCAAAAACAGGGTTTACACTAGTGAACTACAAATACTTCGCTACCACAAAAATGATAAAATGTCAAATTCTAAATCTGACTAGAACATAAATAAGGTGACCAACCATCCTCCTTTAGGGAGGACAGTCCTCCTTTTGTGAGTTCTGTCCTCCCTCGAAAAGTGTCCTCCTACATGTCCTCCTTTTCGATATTTGAAGACTAATTTGCAGGGCTTTTTTTTTTTCTCATAGAATGCTCAGAACGGCGTTCCGGCACCTTTTTTTGATGGTTTTTTTTTTCAAATTTTGCATGAGCTGTGCTACTCCCCCCCCTATTGGCTTTTGAAAGCCAATAGGAATTGCTACTGAGTGCGCCAAAACACCCGGCCGGCAAACTTTGCACATGCAAGTTGTCTGCAGTGAAGGCAAATTGGCAGGAACTTAGCACCCCTTCCTGCTACCCAACTACACCATCTCCTAGTTAGTTCCGAAGATACCTGGAGGAGACTGGAGTGGTAAGTTTCTCTTGATCTTCGGCTCTGCTAGGGCAATAATGGCTGCGGGCGCAAGAGGCAGGGGCAGTGGGGGTGCTGTGGGCGGGGGTGTGAGGGGCGGCAGTAGCCAGCTGCCCCCCGTGCTGTGGGAGCCACGGGGCCCTCTCTACACGGGGCTGCGCAGGGTGGGCGGTGGTGCTGGCGGGACGGCTGTAGGTGGGGTGTGTCGACAGCGGGCTGCCCCCCTGGGGCCGGAGCCAGCGTGGCTGGTGCTTTGGGAGCCGCAGGGCCCGCTCTACACAGCGGGGCAGTGGTGCTGGCGGGGCGGCTGCGGGCGGGGACACGGCAGGCGATTGACCTTCCATGGGCCGAGCCAGCTTTTACGATACTTTTTTTCTTCAATTTATTTGTGTCCTCCTTTTCATTGCAAAAAAGTTAGTCACCTTAACATAAATAAATTTGTCTATTATAGCAAGAGAAGTACCTGGCAATGGAATATTTTCCCTAAAAATATTTAAATATAAAGGAAAAAAATCAGATTTATAGCTTCAATCTGAGAATTTTCTGAAAATACAGCTGCCAGGAACCAATAATTGCAGCTCAAAGTTTTAGGGTTTTTTCTATCACCAATGCAAAATCTCATGATTAGAATATGAATGCAAGAAATTCCTACTTTATAAAAGCAAAGATCCTCTGGTCAGAATTATTCTTTCAAAGTGAACATTAAAAAGTATCTTATAAAAAAACCTCCTTCTGCAATTTGGATTCCCTTGATCTTTTGACTTATATCTCCTATGCTTTAGTCAGTGCTAACCCAGCCAAAGTCATGGGTCATAGATGTTGTAAAGAAAAATCATTTTGCCATGTTGAGAAAAATTATACACAAATAAACCAAAACCAGCTCTATGCCCTTAAGAAGTTAACAACTATGGAAAAATAAGAAAAAATATTCTGTCATTTGGTAGGCAAACATTTACTCTGAAGACATGTTTATAAAAAGATATCTCATTTTTCAAAATATAATTTCCTTCCAGTCACTTGAAAGGAATTAAATGCACATTAAAATGCATTTGGCAAAAAAACTACCAGTATTACTTGCTTAATCTGCTGCTAGAAGAAACAGTGCTCATCCATCAATACCAATTGTTTAATGATTTTTAATGTCAATTATGTTAGCTTAACATAGAAGCTAACTATAGAAATTAATTCCATAAGTTAATAATATGCTATAGGAAGTAGTAGTCCCAGTTGAAGGGAAGGAAGGAAGGAAGGAAGGAAGGAAGGAAGGAAGGAAGGAAGGAAGGTTTTAACCTAATCTAATTTTTCCTGTAAATTTAAGGAGGAGAAGTATTCCATTCTAGCTTTTGCTACAGATAATACAAAAATGTAAGATCAAGGAACTAAATCTATGCTGAAAGTTAAGTTTTTGTTTTAGAGGATATTCAATTGACATTAAACAACACATTAAACAAAGAGATTGTCCCTCATGATCCTTGTGACATTTGCTGCCTCTAGTAGTTTGCTGGCTCTAGTTCAGTGGTGGCGAACCTATGGCACGGGTGCCAGAGGCGGCACTCAGAGCCCTCTCTGTGGGCACGCGCACCATCACCCCAGTCCTAGGCCTTCAGCTGGGTTTTATAAAACCTTTTCGCTTTAGGCCTCCACTGCCGTGAGTGCAAAAAAACAAGGTTCAATCAATCAATTTCAACTTCTCTCAGGAAAAAAAAAGATCTTGCAAAGTTGGAATTGATTGATTGAACTTTTTAGTCCCACCCAGTCTGCTGTTTCCACTGTACCCACGCCCACCCAATGGGCCACACCCACCGGGCACCCGACGATGCATAAGTGGGTTTTGGGTTGCAGTTTGGGCACTCAGTCTCTAAAAGGTTCGCCATCACTGCTCTAGTTCCAGAGAGGAAAGTAAAATGCTAGCAGTAATTACAGATCTGGGTATTAGATCTTTTTTAAATGACAACAAATTCAACAATACAATCACACCAATAATACCATCTTAATCTATTAAAAGCTGCTATAGAATATTCTATAAGAAAGGCAACATGTATTAATACTAGCAAAGCAGGATTTTTACAATCCTTCTGTATATTTCTCACAGCTTAGTAGTCCTCATTATGATCCAAAATTACTTGTTGTTTTGATCTTAAATCCTTCTGCTATTTGTAGCAGATTGTTGACACATCAATATTCCCTTCTAATATTTCCCATTCTGTTACCTCTTACATTTATCAAATCATCAACAGCAAACTAGTTTTCAATGATTTTTTTAAATTTTGATACCATATTCCAAAATTCTGAAGCAAATATACTGAACATGCTAGTTAAGTTTTCTAGTAAGAAAAATATTTTAATTAAGTACTTAATGACATGTCAAAAGATTTCCAGTAGCAAAATAAGCTACACTAACTAGAAGTGCTTTAGCATGAGCCTGAATTTCTAGCAAAGAACTCAGTGCTGAGTATATTTACTAGGACTGTGTAACTTATTGAACACATGTTCAATCATAGTGATTCAATTGGGCCTCAAGAATTTCAAGAGTCTTCCCAAACTAAGATATGTCTACCAAGATTATTGTACATAATGCTTCTATATAGCAGTGCCTACCTTGTGGAAGTCTCCTCCCAAGGTAGCGAGCTCCTACTTCTTTTGCTTTCTGGAAGACTGTGAAAACTTGTTTTTCCCCCTAAAGGGGAGGCACTAGGAATTTCACATTTTTATATTGTTATTTAATTGTCAGTTGTTAGTTGCCATATGTTATTTTATTTAATACAGGTGGCCATATAAATCTTTTAAATAAATAAACCCAGGAAAAATTTTATGCATAGATATGTATGTGCAAATTGCTTGAGAAGACTCTCAAGACTGACACATCAAATCTTTGGAATGATGAGTGATACAACCAAGAAGTAACAGTACATGATTAAAGCATCAATTCAATTCACACAGGTCTAATGAAAATGGTCTTTGCTTAACAATCACCTGTTGAGTAACCATTTGAATTTACAAGAGTACTAAATGAATGGTTTTTATAACTGATCCTCATACTACATTGGTCACAATGTCCCCATGGCCATGTGACTGTGATCCAGCAATGACAAAGTTGAAGCATCCTGCACTCATGCAATCACCATTTGTGACTTTCTTGCCAGCTTCTTACGAGCAAGGTCAATGGGGAAGATGGCAGGAGGTTGTAAATGTTCTCATTTAATGACTTGCCATGATGCACTTAATGACAATAACTGGAAGTACCACAATTTCCATCACTAAGCAGCATGGTCATGTGATGTAACACTTTACAACTGCATTATTAATGATGGAAATTCTGATCCCTATTACTATTGTTAAGTGAGGATACCTGTATTTAGTTTCAGGCTGCAGCCCTCTGCATACTTATCCAGAGGTAAATCTTTTTGATTTGAACAAGATTTTTCTGAACTGATAGACACAGGATTTATTTCTAGACAGGCAATTAGCTAATCACTGTTTAAATGAACAACAGAACAAATGCAAAGATAAAAGTGCTCAGCTGCTGTAGTGCCAATGCAATATTTGTTAATTCAGAAGTTGAACAAGTGTAACATTAATGGAGACAGCAACATTGTATGATAACAAAAGCACATTACTCCTCCTAGTACAGGGCTGACATGAGCACAATGATAAGTGCAATGTATTTTGTTCTAGTTTCTAACTGCTGGAAATTAATATCATCTACAGATGACATAATGCTGTTGTTTTCAAGGGTCCTCTGTCTTCAGTAGAAATTGCCAGTACAATGCTGTCTACTTCTCAACCCCAAAGCAGAAAAAAGAAGAATTGTGGCAAGAAATCAATATTATTCATTACTATATTTTTAAAATTGCTATCTTATGTTAATACTTGACCAAGCAAAATAGGAATCAAAGTCAGAAACCACAGAGTATTATTTAAAGAAATTAAAACCCAATTTGATCATATTTAATTATGATCTATGGAAAAATCAATACAGTAATATAGTAAATTCAGATAGCCCTACCCTTAAGTTTAAAGTGGCAATATACAGTATGCTTCAGGTATTTTTGGTGTAGTGACATATTCACTCAACTAAATACAGAATATAGCAGAAGCATACAAATGATGTTTCAAAACACTATTGTGAAGAGTCACTACAAACTTTTAAAAAAAGTAAAAACCACTTGTCTGTTCAACATATCTGGTTGAAATCTAAGAGCAACAAAAGCAAGTTAGAGGAGTAAAAAAAATAAATTGCATAAAAATCATCTGCACATTTTTTTAAAACGTATTTGCCTGCAAGGCATAATACTTAATAATGTATTTGCACAGAACACTTGTAATTCATTGTGTTATTGCATTAGGGTTCAGTTTTTCAGCAAATCACAAAACCTCTTATACAATGATCTAGGGCACGGGTGTCAAATTCGCCGCATCACATGATGTGTCGAGACGTATTGCGACTTTTTTTGCATTGCCAGAGTTGGGGTGGGTGCGGCCTCCGCATGATGCAACCGGCCCACAGGCCAGCAGTTTGACACCCCTGATCTAGGGGCAACTGCATATTCAGCATGCTAATGAGGATTTAACTAGTTACAAAACTGCATCTTACACCCATTAAATATTACATCATATTTAAGTGAAAAGGTTATTTACCGTGACATAACCATCAAGAGTTTCATGGCTTGAACCGTTACTTCATGGTCCCTGTCCAGAGCCATGGACACAATTCGATCCTAAATGGATAGAAAGCAACAAGAGAGAGATTGAATACTTTCTATTCCAATCACTTTTTGCTATAGAAATGTATCCTTTTGACACAATGCTTCCGATAGAATTAACTGCTCCTTCAATTTTATTAAACTATAACAAAAGATCATGACTGGAAATTTCAAAAGAACCATACATAGCAAAATACCTCATTGCTAAGTGATGTCTGAAAACGTTATATTGTGTGGAGTAAAAAAAACAACCCGCAAATGTCCTTTCATTTATTTTTTTTAGCTTGAATGCTGATGTTTAGAATTTGCAATGGGTGGTTTGTAACACCCCCTACAGGCTTGGAATATTTGGAGTCTTGGTATATCAAAATAGACACAAATCTTAAGCTTTTGATTCCAAATATATTAGGTGAAACAGACTGCTGTAGAAATAGTTGAAAAGATATTGGTTCTAATAATTGGAATCACTTACAACAAAAATTGGTAATTCTTCTTAATTAGTTTTATAAAACATGCCATGCATAAATAGTTTTTATTTCCAGATGAAATTTCAGAACAATTTAACTGATTTTGAACTAACCCTGTCAATTTTTTTTTACTAAATGAATAATATCATAACAAGGTTGCTGAGAAAGGTGAGCGAATGTGTACTTTCAAAGGACAAAAGTTAATACTAATTGGCTCTGTCAATTGTCAGGGAGGGCGAAGAATGTTCGGCAACCCTGGGGATGGTTGGTGTTCTAAGGGTGTTCTCTCCATTTTTCAAACTTTTAATTCTGCACGCTTACATTTTAATTCTGTTTTTAACTTTATTCTTAGTTATGCTTTTATATACTAACAAATTTTTATTGTAAAGCCACTCAAGAGTCGTAAGTCGGGTGATAGAGAAATGTAATTAAAAATACACTTATATATTATTAAACATCCAAGCTCTGAAATATGTGCTTGTGCATTAGAAAAAAATCATACTGAACACTCACAATGAAAGGATTTGTGTTTCTAATTTTCCCCCCAAATCTGAGGGCCTGTAGTGAGTCTAGTTTGGTTCTAAAAACAATCACTCCTAAAATATCAACAAGTTCATATTGGGAAATGCTGATTTCAACTTACCTTGAACCTACTAGTGAATAGATCCATTTTACAAACAACCTCTTTTTCACTATATATTCCCTGTAGTGCCTGAAGGCACTTCAGTCGTACCTCAGGATGCTTTGAGGAAAAGAAAAATGGAGTGAGAATTACAGGCCCAGGTGAAATTATAAAGGATCAACATTACTCAGTAGGCAATCAGTAGGTGTCAGTAGGTGTCAATCTTTTGATAGCAAAACCTGTTCACACCAAAGAGAAAAGATTTCACCATACTGCTTTGTTTTTGATTCTTTGCCTATAATTTAGGAGGTAGCCTGGAACAAACTGAGATATGTGTATTTTTCTGGGTAGCTTTTTTAGTGCATGGACATGTATGGCTTGGGGATATTATCTTAGCCAAGATATAGGAATGTATCTATATAAGTGTCATTAAGTTTGGTATAGCAGGGATACTGTCACTCTGATAGCCTTTGGATTCTCAATTTTTTTTTGGCATTTGCAGTATTGGCCTATTTTTCCTTGTACTTGATTTCCTGGACATGCAATCTGTCTCAAGAGTAAATCATGGAAGTGTATAAAATATTCTGAATTTGGAATACTTTGAATTTGAAATGGACTATTCTAATTGATGCCCTTCTGATTTTAGCAGCAGTGCTCCAACCTAAAAACAATCATAATGCCAGTCATGTAATAAAACTAGACAATTCCTTCAGCAACAGTTTGGGTTTAAATTTATATTGCTTTACTATTTGGTTTTCTAAACTGGAAAAAGGAAAAATCAGAACAACATTAAGTGTGTTGTCTTTAACCCTACTCTTCAAATGTATTTTTGTTGTTCAATGGAAGATTATCATGTAAGCATGTATGAACGAAAACATTAACTTTTGGCACTTAATCTTTGAAAAGGGAGACTGATATTTTTTTTCCAGTTGTTAAGAAAAGAACTCACTTTATCATACAGCATCCAGCCAAGATATTTCAAGTAACTATCATTTAGGAATGTATCAGGATAAATTCTCATCCAGATGCCCATTTCTTCAATGCAAATAGCCCGAATATCTGGAATAATATCACTTAAAAAATGGAAAAAACATTTGTCATCTTCCATGAGCTAGTTCAAACATTCATGCATACTCTGTATTGGTATCATCTGCTATAAATAAACTTTATTAAAAGGACATTTTAAAACTATATGAAGTACTCTAAATATTTTACCTGATGAAACCAGTCAAATTTGCAGACACTATAGTCTTGTTCAGACACTGTATTTCAATATAATACCTGAAGGCTACAGAAAGCTCTTTTTACCAAATTTCTCAACTGCATAAGGATCAGGTGAATGCAAGCTGAAATCATGTCCAATGTGATGTCTTGTACCTCTTAATACAATTTATCCTAATGCTTGAATATTGTTAACTTTATATTGCAACTTCAAATGATTACAGGTAAATAAACTCCTCGGTCAATCTATCCTTAATAAATTAGACTCCTTGGAAACAAATAAACATTCTTACCGATAGCGTGGCAAAAAGGTCCCCTTAAAAATCGCATTCATCATATTTTCCACTTCCAGAGATTTCTGTTCATACTGAAATGAGAAGAATTGGGGGCGGGGGGAGGGTCCCACACAGGAAAGGCTTTAATCCAGTGGTTTGTTTCAGGCCACACTTTCACTTCAAAGGATATCATCAGTGGCTACACTCCCAAAATGTGGTAATATCCGTTAGAACTTTTGGAGGCACCCGAGGACTGCAAAAGCTGCAACAATATTTAGTGTAGCCATTTGGCTGCTCCTCTGACTACTTCGTGCATTCTTTAGAATGTTTTGTAATCTGGCCTTGGAAGGCTGTTTGGTGAACTTTGGGGGTGAAGGGGGAAAGTTGGCTGAGAGTCAGGTGAGTTGTGTTGGTTCCCCTCCCCTGGGTGTGAGCTGGGGGAGGGAGGAGTGGCTCCCTGCTTGGTGGGTGAGAGCACTGGGTAGGGTGCTGTTTGTGCACTGAGTGAATTTATTGTATGTTGGGGGATAAGGGGTTGCTGGAGGTGACCCCTCTGCATCAGTGAGGAAAGGGTGGTGTGAGTTTGAGGGCGCTGAGAGCAAGAGCAAGAGCAAGTGCTATAGTGCCTGTTGGGCTCACCTTGCCCCTGACTGTTTGTCAGTTGGAGGAGGTTCCCCTTTTTAAAGGAAAAGTGTGAGAGATTGAATGGTTTGTAGGGAAGGCAGAAGAGGGCGATCTATTTCAGTGGTGTCCAGTAATGGGAGATACGGGAGGCAAGGGGGGAGCATTCACGGGGAATGTGACCTTGGTGTTTAGAACCAGTTTCTTGTTTTGCCCTCTTGCACTCACCTCATTTACCTGTCAGCAGATCGGTGGTGACCCTGGTCTTAGACTGCTGCTTTTAAATGTCAGATCAGCCTGCAATAAGACTAACCGAGACCTGGCTGGGCCCAGAGGGAGGTGTTCCCCTCTTCGAAATGTGCCCAGGAGGTTATCGAGCATAGCACCAGCCTAGAACTCAGGGCCAGGGAGGGGGTGTGGCTGTTGTTATCAAAGAATCTCTGGCAGCCTCCAGGGGCATGGCTCCACAAGTGCCCTTTTTCTTAGGTTGGGCTCAAGGGGTCAGGTGGGATTGGTGCTGCTATACCAGCCTCCCTGCTACGTAGCAGCTTCCCTACCCGGGCTCCTGAGCCTCACCGCAGGGCTAGCAGTGGAGTTCCCCACTAGGAATAGTGGTCACACACCCAATTTGGTGTTCTTGTCGGAGCAGTGCCTATGTGATCTGGAATTGGTGGACTTGTCTTTGGTCCCCTGTCATGGTCAGTCTGGTGGCAATGAGTTTCTTGAGAGCTGTATCCCCCCACAGGGAGGCAGGACCTATTAGATCGGTCCGCCCCTGGCAATTAATGGACCCAGATAGGTTCCAGAAGAAACTGGGCATTATAACTGCAGATCTGCTGTGCAGTCCAGCTGAGCTCTTAGTCACCGTTTGGAATGGGAAGGTGACTGAGGCTCTGGATAGGATTGCACCTCTCCTCACCCACAGACCTCTCTACCCTCCATGGTATACAGAGGGACTGAGAGGGATGAAATGGATGAAGAGACGTCTAGAGCGCCGCTGGCGAAAGACAAGGGATGAATTTGATCAAACACGGGTAAGAGCTGCTATTAAAGCCTACCTTGTGGTGATCCGTGCAGCGAAGTGCAAATAATGTACTTCTCTGCACTAATTGCATCTGCAGATAATTGACTAATAACCCTCTTTAAGATGAGCCATCACCTCCTGGGGAAGGAGGAGACTGAGGTCCACCTGAAGGGGTGCTCTGAGGAATTTGCAGATTTTCTGGAAGACAAAATCACTCGACTTCGTTCCCAGTTAGATGCCGGAGTGGTTGGTGGTCTGGTAGAGGGCCCTGAGGCAGGTTCTTGCCCTGTTATCTGGGAATGGTTTGACCCTGTTGCTCCTGAGGAAGCGGACAGGACCCTAGGGATTATGCCCGTAAGCACCTGTGTTTTAGATCCATGTTCCTCCTGGCTAGTGAAAGCTTCCCACAAGGTGACAGGTGGGTGGACTCTGGCAGTGATTATAGGAAGGGGTAGTGCCCCACTTTAACGAGGCTGTGGTCCAACCTCTTCTCAAGAAGCCATCACTGGATTTCACCCTGTTGGATAATTTCTGACTTGTCTCCAATCTTCCCTTTTGGGGGAAGGTTGTTGAGAAGGTGGCAGCCCCAGAGGTTCCTGGATGAAATAGATTATCTAGACCCCTACCAGTCAGGATTCAGGCCTCGGTATGGCAAAGAAATGGCATTCGTCGCACTTTTTGATGATCTCTGGTGGCAGTGGGATGGAGGTAGTGCATCCATCCTTGCTCTATTTGACCTCTCAGCGGCTTGCGATACCATTGACCATGGTATCCTTCTGAAGCAGCTTCAGGGGTTGGGAGTGGGGGATCTTGTGCTATTCTGGTTCACTTCCTTCCTCTGTGGCCACTCTCAGTTGGTGTTAATAGGAGGTAAGAGATTCAGCCCTCACCCACTGCTTTGCGGAGTCCCGCAGGGCTCGGTACTCTCTCTGCTCCTATTCAACATCTACATGAAGCAGCTAGGTGAGATCATCCGTCACCATGGACTGATATATCATCAATATGCTGATGATATTCAGCTGTATGTCTCAGCCTGTGATGAGTTAAGCAATGTTGTGACCTCCCTCTCGCAGTGCCTGGAGACTATTAGGAGCTGGATGGGGAGCAACGGGTTGAAAGAGAACCCTGGCAAGATTGAGTGCCTCTGGGTTTGGAGTTCATTGGCCCTTGAAGAATTGCCACCTTTGGTTTGGATGGGGTGGCACTGCCCCAAACAGAACCTGTGGGGGTACTCTTGAACTTGCGACTCCTGCTCAAAGAGCAGGTGGCAGTCATGGCCAGGAGGGCCTTTGCGCAACTGTGGATTGTGCGTCAGTTACGCCTTTCCTGGACCAACAATCCCTACTCACGGTCACTCATGCCTTAGTCACCTCCCGTCTTGACTATTGCAATGAGCTCTACATGGGGCTGTCCCTGAAGAGCATTCAGAAGCTCCAGTTGGTGCAAAATGCAGCAGCCCACATGGTTTTGTGCAGATCTTAGTGTGCACATGTGACACCTCTCCTGTGGGAGTTGCATTGGTTCTCGATTTGCTTCCGGGTGCAATTCAAGTTGCTGATCGTCACCTTTAAAGCCCTTCATGGCTTGGGACTAGGTTATCTGAGGGACTGTCTCTTGACAGTCACATCTACCCAATCCACTAGAGTGGGGAGGCAAGGAATGTTGCATGTCCCATCCCCTAAGGAGATATATCTGGTGGGATCCAGAAGAAGGGCCTTCTCCGTGGAGGCTCCCTCTCTTTGGAACATCATTCCCCCAGAGATTAGACTGGCCCCCACTCTAACTCTCTTCCGGAAGGCGCTGAAGACCTGGTTCTGCTAACGGGTCTGGGGAACCCAGAGCGGGATAGAGCCCATTAAATGGTTAGTTTGAATGTGTTGTCGCCGGGGTGGGGGGGGGATTATTATTTTATTATTATTTTCTTGTTATTTTTATTTTTTTTTATGGAGTGTTTTTATATCTGTGTAAGCCGCCTAGAGTCCTCATATGCGAGTAGGTAATATAAATTTTCTAAATAAATAAAATAAAATCAGGATAAAAATGAGGTTTGAGTTCATTGTAATTACATTAAATTAGTTCATTATGTTTAATTTAGTTTACATTAAATTAATGTAAATTTATATTAAATTAATGCATTACTAGTTTTTCACATGTTCATTTTCTGTCACCTTAAAAATTACAATTTGGCAGAATCTAAGTAGAATTGTGGAAGCTATGTTTAAAGCAGATACTCTCTTAGGGCAATTTTTTTTATCCTTCCTTCCATTCTCCCGTGAGCCCCACCTGCTGGGCTACATTCAATTTGCTGATACCAACAGAGCAGGCATATAGTAATCTGGATATAATGGACTACAATTTCCATCAACATTAGTTAGATTAGCTGAGGATAACAGGAATTTACTCCAACACACCTCCTAGACATTATCAGGCCAGGAAAAGTTGCAATAGACTTTGTTAGGAAAGCAGTATATAAAAAATCAGGAAACTTTGAAGAAGCTCTTATAGTTATCATGTTGTTCAATATTTCCTCCCTGGACAGTTATCTAGAGCAGAAAGTAACTTCTTTTTCCTTTTAACAAGCTATACTTGCTATTTTATAGTATGGAAAAGGGGAAAAGGTCACAAATTCTCTCAGTAGATACTAATTTCAGATGTAATGGCTCAGTGCCATATAGATCTTAACACCTGCACCCCTAACCATTCTGCAGCTCTTATAGCATCATATGAGAGCATAATTCTCCAATAAATGGCAGCTTTGTAACCAGGGATGACTGTGCTATGCAAATCCCAGTCACAGGTTTAAATGCTAATGGCACTGAATGGCAAATTTAGTACCATCGTCTCGGGTTCATGAATTACATTTTATCTCCCCTTGAAGCATTGCCCCACCTCTCTCTTTTTTCTCTCAAGCTGGTCCAGTCTAGAATTGGTTTTCTTTCCCATGATTCTCTTCTTTTCCACCTCATATAATCTTTCCAGGTTATCCTTACTTACTTCTAGATTTAGATTTAGATTTACAAGCGCTGAAAGAAGCTTCATAGCTGGAAACAAAAACAAATACAATACCAAAATCAAGTCTAGAATCTCAACATTACGAATTTAGAAATCTACAACAAAAAAGTAAGGAAAGCTCAGGAATAGCTTACTTTAGCTGTGAGCACCAGAAACGTGACTATAGTTTATGCCTATCACTGAATTATTTTTTTTCCAACAGAACCTTGACACTACTTTTTTAGCTGCAAAAAATCTTGCAAGTGTATGTGTGTATGCATCTGTGTATCAAATTATTTAAGAACTTGTCACTTGTCACCCATAACATTCTAGCAAAAAAAAAACCCATTTTCAAAGTAGTTTCCAAAAAACATTATTTTTTTTTCTGCCTTAAGCCAGCATTGCTTTTTGGAGATTGCCTAGACTAGTCTGTGCAGTTTTCTTGGCAAGATTTTTCAGGTTTATCATTGCCTCCTTTCTAGGGCTGAGAGACAGTGACTGGCCCAGGTCACCAATTTGGCTTTGTGCCTAAAGTGGGACTAGGTCTCAGGGTCTCCTGCTTTTTAACCTAATGCCTTAGCCAGTATACCAAACGTACAAAAATTAGGAAACATTTTCAATATTTAAAATTGTTTTTAAATTATTATTATATTATTGTTTAATAATAATTGTAATGCTACAGCAAAGCATGTCATAAAAATTGTTAGAACCTATTTTTATTTTTTCCCCATAGTTGTATTTATAACATATAAGGACTCATTTTAAAAATTATTACAATAATCATTCATTATTAAATTATTATATATTGTACTAATCTTTTTATTACTTCTGAGCAAATTTTGTTTTGTATTAATTTTTTAGATGATGATGATCATGATGATGATGATGATAATGTTGGAAGGAACCTTGGAGGTCATCTAGTCCAACCCCCTGCTCAGGCAGGAAACCCTATACCATTTCAGACAAATGGCTGTCCAGTCTCTTCTTAAAAACTTCCAGTGTTGGAGCATTCACAACTTCTGGAGGCAGGTATTTAAAATTCTATATCATTAAAAAATAAAATACACTATCCAGCCATTCTTAGTGATATTTCAGTGGATATTTTTATAGACTTATCTCATATTAAAAGATATTGAAAATTGTCATTTCATCTGATCTATACCGATTTTGATAATTAATCCATAACCATGAACACCAAAGTAATGTTTAATAAAATTAAAAACATAAAAAATTAAATTATAATCCATGTTTTAAATTTTTCTGTATTCATTTGATATGTCATTCCCACGGCAGGATATAACTAGTCATTCTATTTATAAGCTTAATAGTCCGTAACCTCTTTTTCCACTCCTCAATTGATGATATTAGGATTGATTGCCAAGCTCTTTCCAACATAAGACTTGGGTCCCCATAATCGTGCTGGTTATTTTAACTTTAAGTTATTAATTTAATATATATTTACTTTGAATGTCTTTTTTATAGTTTTCAGTAGTTCCAGAACAAATTTTCCATCATATGATCCATCATCTTAGATTGACATTTTGTGTCATTTCTGACAACTCCTTCAGCTTTTTTTTTCTTATCTACCATTCAGCTTTATCTACAGAATGTGAAAATACTCAGTCAGCCTAAGGACCACAACAGGCTGTTAGCAAATCCAACAGCCTTTTTTTAATATGAAAGTACAGGAAAGTACCTCCTAATTAAGTATTTGGCTTAGTATATTTTCTAAAAAATTGTCTTCTAGAGGGTGCATTCATGACCCATAAAGCTGAGGCTCATAGTCTGAGCCACCTGTCTTAACTTAATTCTCTCTGGAATAAAATACACAGGCATAAACCTCTGGAGTTAAAGATGCCAAGAGACATTAACACACTGGTTGGAATAATACCAGAAATATGCAACTCAATTCTCCAGAAACTAGGATGTGAAGCATTCCAACTGGCCACATTTTCTAACTCTGAATTTTTTGATATCCATTCTGAGATTTCAGGATCAAAAACGGCAATGAGTCATAGCTAAAGCTCAGGCTAAACCTGAGATTATAGCACTTTTAGGCAATATGAGATCTTCCATTAGTCTGAAGGCTATTTGAGAGAGAGAGAAAATCAGAAAGAGTTTGGATGTGTAGTTTGAAGATATGGCTTTCTTACTATAAACTCCAAGACAAAAAATGGCTGAAAGAGCAAGGATAAATATTTCCATGTCACAGTAATCTTGACTATCTATATTTCTACTTTAGCTCTTTGTATGGACAGCACCTATTGTTTCATCAGTAACATTATCCTTTATGTATCACTAGGTAGTTGCTCCAATCTGCAAACAGATGGAATCTGAGTTCAACAGGATCATTCCTCTATAATAGCAAATAATAGATGGGAGACTACCCCAGCGTTTGAATCAGTGGGTAACCACTTGCAAAGAGAATGTTTTGAATAGGCCAGCAGTTTCCCATACTTCCAGTATTAAAAGGCACAACAATGCTTCTTATTCAATGGTAGCTCTGCTAAGAGTCAGCAATTACAAATTTTAGAAAAATCTTTTGGTTGAAAATTAGATAATTTTCCATATCTTCCATAACTCAAGGATGATAACATTTTCCGTATTAGCACTACATTCCTTCATTTTTGAATTGCATAAAGTTCCATAAGGAAAAGCAGATTTACAAAGTTCTGCAATGCTCCTGTTGGAGGATCACCAACAGGATGAATTCTTTTCAGACTGCTATGTACCTGCCACCAGAGTTGGGTTTTTTTACTCTAACTTTATCAACAATCCCTATGTTTTGACCATTTCAACAGTGCAGGGTATCAAACTTCCAACTACTAAGCAGTAATAGTGCATACTGTTTTCCATACCTGCTAAAGTACTGGTATGCCTGAACGCTCTGACCATGGAATCTGCCAAACCCGTAAGAAGAGAGATGATTGTGTCCATCAAATAGTTGTCATACAAAATGCTGCACTGACATTGTTGGACTAGTACTGCAGTGAATTCACAAAAATTAGTTTTGAACCTCTTCCAATAGGACCCTGTTTTGATGAGTGGATAGTCTTCATTACCCTGCAAGAAATGTAAAGATCTGAGAACATTTGATACAAAGCTGTTCAGTTTGATGGAAGAGAATCCAAGGCATCCAGGAATACTGCAGAGGACAATGCGTTGACATGGAAGTTTACACAGGGCTTTGACATCTGGAATCACACATGGAAGCAACTGTATTCAGTCTGATGGGGCTGAAATTTTATAGGCACTGAATTTTAGATGATTCTCCTAGTTGGACTTGCTAAAGGCTTTTAATAACATGCAAAATTGTCACTATACATAGCATACAGTTCTTCCTTGAAATCACAGTGGTAGCCAGCGTAAGCCATAACTGTAATGTTAAACCCAGCTCTATCAATCAATTCAAGCTTACCAATCAATACTCAGCAGTAACGAAGATCTCCTTATACTTCAGAACTTAGATCCTTAGCTTCAATTAGCAGAAGATTCACACTCATGCCTAGATGAGTTATAAGATTAAGCTTAAACTGCAAATGAGAAAGAAGTAATACAATGAGGGGAGAAATTATTTGATCCCCTGCTGATTTTGTATGTTTGTCCACTGACAAAGAAATGATCAGTCTATAATTTTAATGGTAGGTTTATTTTAACAGTGAGAGACAGAATAACAACAAAAAATCCAGAAAAACACTTTTCAAAAAAGTTATAAATTAATTTATATTTTAATGAGTGAAATAAATATTTGACCCCTTTGCAAAACATAACTTAGTACTTGGTGGAAAAATCCTTGTTGGCAATCACAAAGGTCAGACATTTCTTGTAGTTGGCCACCAGGTTTGCACGCATCGCAGGAGGGATTTTGTCCCACTCCTCTTTGCAGATCCTCTCCAAGTCATTAAGGTTTCGAGGCTGACGTTTGGCAGCCTTCAGCTCCCTCCACAGATTTTCTATGGGATTAAGGTCTGGAGACTGGCTACGCCACTCCAGGACGTTAATGTGCTTCTTCCTGAGCCACTCCTTTGTTGCCTTGGCCGTGTGTTTCGGGTCATTGCCATGCTGGAATACCCATCTACGACCATTTTCAATGTCCTGGCTGAGTGAAGGAGGTTCTCACCCAAGATTTGATGGTACATGGCTCTGTCCATTGTATCTTTGATGCAGTGAAGTTGTCCTGTCCCCTTAGCAGAAGAACACCTGCAAAGCATAATGTTTCCACCTCCATGTTTGACGGTGGGGATGGTGTTCTTGGGGTCATAGGCAGCATTCCTCATCCTCCAAACACGACAAATTGAGTTGATGCCAAAGAGCTCGATTTTGGTCTCATCTGACCACAACACTTTCATCCAGTTCTCCTCTGAATCATTCAGATGTTCATTGGCAAACTTCAGACGGGCCTGTACATGTGGTTTCTTGAGCAGGGGGACCTTGTGTGGGCGCTGCAGGATTTCAGTCCTTCACCGCATAGTGTGTTACCAATTGTTTTCTTGGTGACTATGTTCCCAGCTGCCTTGAGATCATTGACAAGATCCTCCCGTGTAGTTCTGGGCTGATTCCTCACCGTTCTCATGATCACTGAAACTCCACGAGGTGAGATCTTGCATGGAGCCCCAGACTGAGGGAGACTAACAAGTTATTTTGTGTTTCTTCCATTTGTGAATAATCGCACCAACTGGTGTCACCTTCTCACTAAGCTGCTTGGTGATGGTCTTGTAGCCCATTCCAGTCTTGTGTAGGTCTACAATCTTGTCCCTGACATCCTTGGACAGCTCTTTGGTCTTGGCCACGGTGGAGAGTTTGGAATCTGATTGATTGATTGCTTCTGTGGACAGGTGTCTTATATACAGGTAACAAGCTGAGATTAGGAGCACTCCCTTTAAGAGAGTGCTCCTAATCTCAGCTCCTTACCTGTATAAAAGACATCTGGGAGCCAAAAATCTTGCTGATTGATAGGGGATCAAATGCTTACTTCATTCATTAAAATGCCAATCAATTTATAACTTTTTTGAAATGCATTTTTTGGGATTTTTTTGTTATTCTCTCTCTCATTGTTAAAATAAACCTACCATTAAAATTATAGATTGATCATTTCTTTGTCAGTGGGCAAATGTAGAAAATCAGCAGGGGGGTCAAATAATTTTTCCATCACTGTACAAACAGTTGACTTCTCATTGCCAATGAGTAGTTAGATATGAGATTTATATCACTACAGCAACTGGGTGTATGCCCCATATCCCTGGGAACAGTAGTCTATTTGATAGACTGCCACTATCCACTTTATTTGAGAGAAAGTTGTTGTATGTATTAGAAGGTGCCCTCAACCCTCACAATTAGCTCTGAGAAGCATTTCAGCTCCAGCATTCCATAACTTTCCCATCTCTCCAAACTGTGAGGATCTGAAGTGGAATGAATAGTACAGCAAGGTAAAATCAAAGAAATCTTCTTGATTTTGTTAGTAACTGACCACATGTTGCCAGCATTCATGAAAATAATTGGTTCAAGAGAGGAGAAGAAGATGCAATAAGCAATGTAATTCTTTTCAGTTAATGGAGAAACATAAAGAAAATCATTCTTAAGAATTACATTTAGAAATACATGATAAAAACTGACTAACCAGTGAACTCCTACTAGTATTTTAGAAAGTGCAAACCTTTCTATTATATATAGAAAAGATCCTGGAATCTTGTGAAAGTTTGCAGCAATCTTGGTTATTGTCACTATATAGTTTGCATACAGCCTAGGAAACCTAGTGGGTTTTCCTACATAAATTCCAGCAAAAAAAAGTTGAGTATATGTGAAATAATTACTTTACCATATCCACTGGCCAAGTAACAGTCAAAATCCAGGGATAAGCCATAAACCTTTTATATTGCAATCCTGTTTCCTATAATACATAAAGGCAAAGCAAAATTTAAGCAGTGACGTTTAACATCAATGTTCTCATAACAATTAAATACAATTATAAACATCCATAGCTAAGTTCAAACAGTTTTTGTGTATGTTGACATTTCTGTACAAGTAAGGATTTCCTTATCACCTCCAAGGTATTGGCAACTCCTTACATATATCTTCATTTTTCATGAGTGAAGCTGCCATCAATTTTGTTAATGAAGAAGCACACATAATGAACTGTTATATAAAAACATTCAGAATCATTGAACATTAGCTTTAAACCCTAAGATGTGAGGGCAAATGCACTTCCCAGACATTTCTCAATATAGAGGACCCAGTAGTAACTAAGAGAAAAGGTAACCAAGTCATGAATAAGCTTTGCCAAATCTGAAAAGCTCAAGAAAGGGCTAGCCACAACACCCCAATAATTGTGCAAAGGCGCTTTTACCATAGCTACCAGCTGCAAATCCAGAAAGCTGAGGATCAGGGAATTTTGCAGTATCTTCTATCCATCAATTTATTATGCATGTGTTATATATATGTTTGCACGGAAAAGTTTAAGTAGCCCTAGTCAAACAGTATGGTTCAGTGAATTCCTGAGTGACAAAAATCTCTAGATAGTGAAAAGTTAGACACCAGATTATCTACAAATCTGAATGTATGCTTACAATTTATGTGAAGGCACAGCCTCAAAATAAGGTACTCTGAAGCATATAATTTGACTAGGGTGCCTAAACTTTTGTATGTTAATGGGTATCTTGCCCTTTTTTTTGAAGCAAATCAAAAGATGTATGGCACACGCTTCCCTGTTTATTTTTTTCCACAACAATCCTGTGGCACAGATTAGCATGAGACAGAGTAACTGGTTCAAAATTATCCAGCGACCTTCTGTGACAGAGGGTGGAATCTAGATTTCCCAGACTTATTTCATCAGGTAAACTACAGTGCACCCATCACAGTGATTTTACAAAGCTGCTACTTTTATTTATTCTGCTATTGAAGTCTTACCTAAAAATAATTAAAAATAAAATTACAGATTGAAAATGATTCTCAGCAATTTGACTATAGCCTTCTACATGCCTCTTCCATGTGTCCCTCAAACGAATGAAACTGTGCTCTCCTGCCTTAGAAAAGGAAGAACTTACTTCATCAAATTTCTCTGTCATTTTATGCATCACTTCACAGTTTTGTAAACTTTGGAACATCTCTGCGATAACCATTCCTATGGAAACAATAGGAAATTTAAATGAGGCTTTAATATATTGCAGTAATATGCACATAAACTTTATTTTAAAACAATATGCATACAAACTTTATTTTAAAACAATAATGAGGTCATAGTGTCACAGATTCAAAAGTCAACAAAAAACTAGCATCTAGCATAATAGATATTCTGCACCTTTGGACTACGTTGACTTTAATTATTAGATTTAATTACAATTGTATTGACATCTGTGAATAATTCAGTGGAATGCACATCCATGTGAAACATGCACAGGACTGACAACCCTTGGTACAATATTCATAAGCACTTCTCAGATTAACAACGGTTTTAAATCAACTCAAAGAGGCACTCAGATGTAAGTAACAGTAGTTAAACCAGACTTACAATCGGATGGATTGGAATCTAATTTGTTGCTGGCAGATTGAAGTTTGGAGCCTGGTTTCAGAATTGCAGGCTTGTTGAAGAAGGCTGAAAGGGGCATGAGTTCAAAAGATTTAGAGATGGCAGAATTGCTGAATGATGGTCTGGATTATTTTAAGAAGATTGATGGAGATTGGATAATGGACTTATATCCAATCAGAAAACAATTGCCAAGAGATGCTGCATTTCAACTTGTAGGAAGATTCTTTGAACAACAAATGCTATGGAGATATTTACAACAGAGATTTATGACCTTGAGGGATGAGATACAATTGTTGGGAAAGATCCCAGTTAAATATTTAAGGAAAAGTATTATCATTAAGAAGGATTGAGAATATTTGATCCTGGACATATTAGATTTAATGATTATGGTGATTCATGGTAGATTGGAAGCTATTGCGAACTTTCTGGAGTTAAATTCAATATTAGATTGTTAACAGGGGACTTTACAATGTAACTTTGTTGTTGAGTTTACCTCTTAACTGTTTTTTTTATATAGTAGATAGATGCCAGGTCAAATTAGTTGGATAAACAAGAGTTGTAGACGTTCATAACATTGTGGGCCTGTTTCACAAGGGGGGGAAACTATTATTGCTGAAATATATTTATCAGTATTCAACTAGGAGCGACATTTTATGTGTATATGTTGGGTTTATTTATGAACATTTTCCATGTTTAGTTTAGTTTTGCTTTTTTCTTGTATTTTTTCCTTTTGTTTGTATTTTAACTTTGTGAACAAAAATAAATTCATTGAGAGACTTCTGGTTTGGAGTGGGATGGGACGGGTGGAAGAAGCCGGGGCTCCGGCTTCCCAGCCCAATTTCGGTCTGCCCAGCAACCTCTAGGGGTCGGAAAGTTGCCCTGGAGAGGCAACAAAGAAGGAGGGATATTCAGGAGCCCGGACCAGATGGCGGTCGTCCAGGCAGACTGAAGAAACCCTCTGAAAGAATGGAGGAAAGGCTGCCGGGCTAGCCCAGGCAGCCCAAGTCGTCACCAGCCAGAAGGAAAGTGAGGAGCCACGGCGCTCCGCCAAATAGCTGATTGTCAACAACATGCTGAAACTGGGTGAGCCAGCCCTTTTTCCTTTTCCTTTTGGAATTATAATTAAAACATTGATCCCCTGACTACGCAGAGCTAAAAAGCAAAGACTCCAGAAGGACTAGAGGAGAAGTTAAAAGTGGCGAGCAAGTACAAAGGGGAAGGTCTCTTAAGGAATACAAAAAAATCTTTTAAAATTGGACTCAGATTGATTAAAAAAAAATTATCTGTTTTGCAAGAGGTGGAAAATTTTTCTTAGCTACAATCCTAAGAGTAAATAACCTATAAAGAATTTTAAAAGGAAAACTTTGCAATAACTTTCTGACTACACATTGACTAAACAGCAAATGTGGAAATCTAGTGGTGGAAGAATATACTACAGCACTATAAAACAATAATAAAAAAAATTTTTTTGAAAGACTGTGACCTTGAGACAACATCTGGCCTAAACAAAGGTCCTTGATGTGAGTTTTTAAATGAGAAGACTTTCCACAACTAGATTTGTTGACTCTGGATATAACTAAACAGAAATTATTTGGAGACAGCGAAGGTTTTACATCTGAGACCTGACTGGAGGAGTTGGATTTGGCCTAAAGTAGTTGGCTTGTTCTTTTTTTTCCTTTTTCCTTTTAATTGGATTTTAATCGAAGATAGTTGCTTTTTTTACTTCTTTTTCCTCTTCTTTTTCTTCTTGCTTGCATTATTCTGTCTTCTCTCCCTGAGATACTGGACTTAGCCTAAAGTAGTTGGCTCCTTTCACAGTTTGGATTTAAGCGTAAGATAATGGCTGGAAGAATGAATGCACCAAACCTTACTAAACTTATGAATGCACCATCTGTTGGAACACCTAGTCCAACAACCCAGGGATCTATTGAAACAATGTTGCAGCATGAAAAAATAAGCACTGCTCAAAATGATATGCAAACTACATTAAAATCAATTCAGGAATTAATGCAAAAAAATCACGAAGAGATAAAAAGTAAATTTGATAAACTAAGTGAAGAAATTTTGGATGTAAAGACACAATTTGAAGTACATCATCAAATGTTGCTTAAAAATGAACAAAGAATTCAGAAAATAGAAAATAAATCAGAAGATATTAATAAAAAATGGAAATACTATTGCAAGAAAATAAGAAATTAGAACAAGCAAATCAAAACCTTGAGGGAGCAGTTGCAATCCTAGAAATGGAAAAAGTGGAACACTACTTAAGATTTCAAAACATCCCTGAAGATAGAGAAGAAAATATAACAGTTGTTATCATCGAACTCTTGGCAGAGGCTTTGAAAGCTGATAGAACAGAGATGCAAATGGAGATAGATGAAGTATTTCGAAGGAATTCAAGCTATGCAAGGAGATTTAAAGTACCCAGAAAAGTGCATGTGAGATTCATAAAGAAAACAACACGAGATAAAATATTGAGGAAAGTTTGAGAGGAACCATTACAATATAAGAATAAAGAAATTGTGGTTTTAAAGCAGATACCTAAGAGAGTAAGAGATACTCGAAGAGATTACCACTTTTTAACGACAAAGCTGATTGCAAAGGGCATAAACTTTAGATGGTTAATGGAAGGGATTTTAATCAACTGGAATAGTACAAGATACCGACTGGACTCAATCTGGAAAGCAGAGGATTTTGAGGAAGGAGTGCAACATCGACAAGAGGAGAGAAAGGAACAGAAACAAATGGAAGAGACATCTGGAGAAGCAGCTACACAATCAAGAGAACAGAAAGAGAAATGTGAGCAAGAAAGTGAAGGAGCAACTAGAGAACAGAGGATCACGAGATCCACTAGATCTAAATATAAATAACCGAAATGGAGAAAGAAAACGGAATTTTTTCAGTGAACATAAATGGACTAAACTCCCCATAAAAAAGTAAATTTTTTAGGAAACTGCAGAAATTAAACATAGACATAATTTGCTTGCAAGAGACATATAAAAAAACAATTTCATAAGCTTTTAGAATACTCAAAAATTGGGAAACTTTCCCATGCATCAGTGCAACAAAAAAAAGAGGTGTTGCTGTATATATTAAAGAGACAATAGACTCTAAAATGGTCTATTCAGATGAAGATGGAAGAATTGTGATGGTAGAAATATATTTACCCTACATCAAAAACAAATAATGTTGATAGTCATTTATGCACCAAATAATAACTAGGAAGAATGTTATCAAAATCTACACAGAAAAATAATAGAACTGGAGTATCAAAATATTTGTCTAGTAGGAAATTTTAATGCGATTGTAGATGGGACAATAGATTATAAAAGCAGTAAAACAGGAAAAACTGGAAGAAGTTTTTTTAATATGATAGAAGAGATTGGAGTACAAGACATTTGGAGGGAAATTAATCCAGGAAAATTACAATATACATTTTATTCAAATAGCCAAAATCCTGGTCTGGAATCGATATGATTTGATGACATTGGAACTGAGGATGAATATTCAGGAAATTGAGATAGAACCAGGTACATGGGCAGATCATAACCCTTTAAAAGTGATATGGAAAGGAATACAAAAAAAAAACCAAGATGGACTTTGAATCAATCTATATTAAAAGAAAGATAATTTATAGAATTAGCAACAAAAGAAATGGAGTTTTTCTATAACAAAAACAAAAAAGAAGATACAACATTACAAAATGTATAGGATATAGCTAAAGCATACTTTAAAGGCATAGCCATAACATATGTGGCAAAGAAAATTAAACAGAAAAGACAGCAGTATGTAATACTAAAAGAAAAATTTGAAAAATTAGAATCAGAATTGCAAATGAACCCGCAAAAGAAGACTTTAAAAGAGAAATGGACATAATAAAACATAAATTAAATTTGTTGGACTCAGAAAAATTGGCACAGCAAATATTTTATTTATTTGTTTATTTATTTGTTTGGATTTTTATCCCGCCCTTCTCCTTACGGACTCAGGGCGGCTGACAGCCTGTTAAAACAGATACAGAGATAAAAATACCCACTTTAAAACCTAATTAAAATGAAATGTTTGATGTGGCCTGTGTCAATTTAAAATTATTCTTAAAACCCCACTAAAAATTCCCCTAGGCCAATCCCGCTTGTTGGAAGAGCCATGTCTTAAGGGCACGGCGGAAGGGAGATCCGGGATCACCCGGATCTCTGGGGGTAGTTCGTTCCAGAGGGTGGGAGCTCCCACCGAGAAGGCCCTCCCCCTGGGGGTCGCCAGCCGGCACTGTCTGGCTGACGGCACCCTGAGGAGACCCACTCTGTGGGAGCGTACCGGCCGATGGGAGGTAATCTGCGGCAGAAGGCGGTCTCGGAGATATCCA